CTATTCCTAACTGACTTCTTTTCTCTTTACAAATATACAGTTAAAATAAAATTATTTTTATTTATATATTTATATATTTTTTATATTTCTATCAATCTTTTAATATCGTATGTTTTATACTTGTTAAAAAATATATATTAATTCAATTAAAAAGTTAATTTATACAGACATCTACTATATTAATAAGATTGATATTCTAAATATATATTTAAATATATAAAATAAAAATTTTTAAATTTTTAATTATTTAAAATATTTTTCGGACTTCTGGGCTGGCACTGTTCTAACTAAATAAAATATTTAAAGACTAGTTTATTATTTTTATAAAATTATATTAATAAGCTGACTAAGTACAGCTTTAATACTTCTAAAAATATCTAAAAATTTAAAATAATTAAAAAAATATAAAAATATAATTAAAAAACTATTTTATAAATAAATATAAAATCCTCCGAAGTTCATACAAACAGCTATATTATATATTATTAAAAATATAGAAATAGTATTAAATTAAGCTATCTTATTTAAATATTAAATCTATTAGTTTTAAATTATAAATAAATATTTATAAAAAAATAAAAAATAAAATAATTGCTAAATACCCGGCCTCAACAGTTTAACCATTAGTAAGATAATTAAAGCTTTTTAATAGATCTATAAAACTAATAAAATATCTAAAATTAGAAGACTTTTAAAAATATCTAATAAAAAATAATCTCGCTGTCATATGCTACTATATTATTCTAACTGTAATCAATTTAGTTATATATATATAAAATATTCTATAAAACTTTAAAATTAAAAAAATATAATTTAAATTGTGTAAATATATTAATATTTAATCTTAAAGATATATAATAACAGAAAGTCTTAGCAAGCCGGCCAGCCCGCTTGTGGATTACATTAGTTAGAAAAAAAATGACTAATCACATTGTTTTGTAAACTACTTCATTAGTTCCAAGTCGGTGATTGTCCCCGGAATTCTTTTGCCCCGCTATTCCCTTGCAGCAACAACAGCTTCAGTTTGCTTCTTAGTTCCAAATCCGGTGAAACTGTCGGGCAGAATGGTTTACTATTTCACATCAAATGTGGTTCAACCCGCAGCTTTTATCTATGTTGGAAAGGATAAATTTGAAAGTAAGATGGTTTCCCTTTATTCAATAGATTGGGCTGTGCTGAGACTCTAATATTTTACTTGAACAGATGAGGACCTTATTAAGTTTGGATTGGAGAGTGATGTCTGGTAATCTGACCTTGTGCTGTGATTATAAGAGAATGTGCACCAAGTGAGCTAATATCTTTTTGCGTCTCGGCTAGGGTTTGTCTCTCTTCGTCACGCAGCAACCTAGCATCCGAAGACACCCTAATTCATTCATTAGTTCCATGTGGATAACCTGTCTAGTGCCCATGTGTACCTTCGCCTCCGTGATGGAGAAACATGGGATCAGATTCAGCAGGCGCTTCTCGAAGATTGTGCCCAGCTAACGAAGGCGAATTCAATCGAAGGTCAGACATATTTCGTCAGGAACGGATACCGATGAGAATCAGCAAGCAAATAAGCGGTGGAGACTAAACAATTTTATAGGGAATAAGAAGGACAACATCACGGTGATCTATACACCGTGGTCAAATTTGATGAAGGATGGATCCATGGCAGCAGGCCAAGTCTCTTTCCACAACCACAAACTGGTGCGCAAGGTGTTTGTCCGACAGCGAGAAAACCCTATAGTCAATCGCCTGAACAAAACCCGCATTGAAAAGTTCCCTGATCTCAAAGCCGAGAAAGATGAGTTCTTGAAAAAGAAGAACAAGGAGGAACGCAAAGTGAGAGAGGAGCAACGCATAAAGGAGAAATTGGAAAGAAGGGAACGCGACCAGTTGAAATGGCAAAAGGAGCATGCTTACGATGACCTCATGAGTGAGGAGAATATTCAAGGCAGCAGCAACCAAGACCGGGACGCTGACTTTTATGACGACTTCATGTGAAGCAGAAGGCATACAGTGGATTGTCATGTTGTCTCTCCAATGGCCGTCGCCGGCTTGTCGCATGCTATACTACCCACGAAACAACATAACTCAGGACTTATCACGAAGCATCCATTTGAAGTGCAACTACGGAAGTTGGTTACTGGGCCTTGTTCCGTGGTCGCGAAACTCCACATCAAATGGTTAGGAAGCGCATAGCCCAGAGCACGCATATTAATTCGTGTCTCAACTCGACCTGTCCCAGTGCCGGGGAGCTGGTTCTGAGAGTGGCTGGGAGCCGGCCACTGGCATATGGCCTGTCGCTATCCCACAACACAGCGCAGCAGATATGAACTCCACCTAAAGGGTCATCATAGCGTGCTTAATAAGCTGTGCATTGCATGTGAACTTAGTAGAGTAAACTAGGCAGAATATGGAATTAAGTCTGAATACACAGGTGATGCAGCATACAAAGAGAGTGAAACTCCTTTTTAGCCCCTTCGCGGTGCCGGCTCATACTGTTTGGGTGTGTAATTCGGCGTAACTAAGCGAGAGCTGCGGACTGCGGAAGCAACCTCCCTGCGCTAGCGATGTTGACAGCTATGGTCGGGCCCTCACTATAGTACTCCTGTACAACAAGTTCAATGACCATAACGCCAGCTTCGATATAACCGCGTCTTAGTCACGTCGGTACTCAAAAAAGTGAAGATGCCTGAAGGTTCGTCTTCAACTGTGCAGATTCGCAATTCTTCTAGCTTATCCCGTTGTTTCCACTGATACCTCCCAATAGGCGCAAAGTCAAAGAATAAGAAGAAAGCCAAGGGTACCACCGGTCCCAGGGGGATTGAGGGCAAGGCTTCAAACGAAAACCAAGGCAATGATCAGGACCGAGCCCCGGAGGACACTGAGGCACCCGCGCAACCAAGCGTAAGGGCACCGCCGTTTACCCTTCACCCCCGAATGCCCACCTGAGCTGATTATGTGACGGAACAGGAGAGCGACAACAATAAGGTTGATACCACCGAGGGTCCAGCCGCTAAAGAGAGCGCGAAGAGAGATAAACCAACCGGAGATTTACCGACTGAGACAACTGACGATCGGACCATTATTGCGACTAGCCATCCGACTAACCCTACAGGCCATGGGGGCAATCCCACCAGCTCCGAGGCTCTCCAGTCCAACGACCGGTTTGATGCCCTCGTTCGGGATCGGGATACCTTACGCGCGGAAGTGGCAGACATGCGCAAGTCATTGGAGGAAATCCAGTCGAAACACCACGCGGAGATGAAAGCTCTGCAGGGGAGGCTAGATGACGCCGAAAACAAGAAAGAACATGCAGAGTCGCAGTTCCAGAAACTCCTGGAAAGAGTGAATACAATCAAGTCTCAACTTGGCGAGAGATTGAGGGAAGATGCTGTATGTTTTCGGCACTTGCATTCTTATGCTATCCCCAAGCATACTAACTCATAACAGGAAGAGCTTGCACAGGCTAGATCGAAAATTGATGAATTGGAGGAGGAAAATACATGCATCAAGGATCAATACCAAGCGAAGTGTGGCGAGCTCGAGCAGTTGTCGGAAGACAGAAGGAACATGTCACAGGAGCTTTCGACTCTGCGAGACCGTACAAATCTGTCCCAGCAAAATTGGTTGAAAGAGAAGGAAGAGCTCCTAGAACAAGAGAACTATCTTCAGTCAGAGTTCGAGCAAGCCAAGGAGGCCATGCACAACTGGGAAGTCCTTGCTATGGAGGAGCGATCCATTAGGGAAACCCTCGAAGTGAAGGTGGTAGATCTCGAGGAACAGCTAGCAAGCGTCAAAGATGCCTACGAGAAAGCATCTACGGAACGTGACTCTCAAGTGGCTGCAGTAGACGGACTACAGCGAGCTTTGCAGGAACTCCAAACCGGTGAGAATAGCCCCTATCTCCAACATGCTTCTCCTGAATTACCACCAATGATTTGTAGCGCGCAAACAGGAACTTCGTGAGCTCGTGGAGAACTCCGACGCCCAGCTTGAGGAGCTGAAGCAGAGTCTTCAGGAGGCAACGAAAAAAGCCCTCGACGCCGAGAAATCTCTTCAAAATGCTCAAAGCGAGCTCGAAAGAGTTCGGCCATTCGAGAAGGAAGTCAAAGAGAAGAACCTCCTGATAGGGAAGCTCAGGCACGAAGCGGTGACACTCAACGACCATCTGACGAAAGCTCTGCGCTTCCTCAAGAAAGGGAAGCCGGAGGACAACGTCGACAGGTGCGTTTTTTGCGCTATGACCGTGGTCCTTGGCTGGCCTTATGAAGGATCGCCTGATAATTAACTATTCCTAGACATATCGTAACGAATCACCTCCTGCATTTTCTTGCTCTTGATCGTTCAGATCCCAAGAAGTTCCAGATCTTGCAACTCATTGCCGCGCTCCTCGGCTGGACAGATGGTTAGTCAACCATTCTTCTTTTGTGATCTTACCCTACTCCTGATTACTAACGAACTGAATAGAGCAGCGTGAGCAGGCTGGTCTGGCGCGTCCAGGAACATCGAGCACTTCTGGAAAGTTGAGACTTCCAAGCACACCCATGCATCGTACGCCAAGCAGCCAAACCTTGGCCTCGGAATTCCTTGACAATGGAAATGCGAGCAAAGAATCATTGGCGGAGTTGTGGTCCAACTTCTTGGAGCAGGAGTCACAGAATGCGGAAATGGCACATCCAAAGCCGTGAGGCTAGTTCCGCATTCATTCGAGACCAATAGTCTGTGACCTTTCAAATTGAATTACTACTTATGTTAATAATATCTGGGCCTCTTGCTGTAATTGTATACGTGATAGTATGAGATAAGCTATGTCATTAGGCTGTCCGTTTGCGACAGACGGCACATGCGCCTCCAGTTCACCGCCTCATATTCTGCCGCATCCATTTTGTTGAAGTGTCAATGCAACGCTGACCAGTGTCATGCATACCATGAATAGCTTAGCAACACCACGAGTACAACTTTTCTCAAAGTATAGTCATTTATCGCGGGGACACCCCTATTGCATCTCAAGAATGGCTTTTAGTGCCGGTGAGCTTCTCCCTTTTCACAAAGGCGAGTGGTATCTTAATTGACCGCGCGCGCAGTGCACAAATTCCGCCCCGTTGTGGTCTCAGGACCGTCAGGAACCGGGAAGTCGACTCTCCTGAAGAGGCTCTTTGCCGACTATCCGAACATTTTCGGCTTCTCTATCTCGCGTATGTCTTCTTCGGTGCCCCCTCCCGGCTCTTACCCAGCCGCTGTAAGATTGTGGCCGGACATTCCCCCGCAACCCCGCACCCGCATCACTCTCCAAACCGCAAAGGCATAGATTTCTGAAGGCATGCCTCCTTAGATACCACGCGGAGCCCTCGTGCGGGTGAGCAAGACGGCCGCGAATACTATTTCACGACAAAGGAAGACTTTCTCGACTTGGTCAGCAAGAACGGCTTCATTGAACATGCGCAATTTGGAGGCAATTACTATGGTACTAGTGTCCAAGCTGTGAAGAACATCGCCGAGCAAGGTAGAATTTGCATTCTTGATATCGAGATGGAAGTATGTTGCTGCTGCTTTTGTTCATCTGATTGTGTTCACTTCAAAGAGTGCCTCGCTAACAGCTCATTTTCCTTTTCACTCCAGGGTGTGAAGCAGGTAAAGCGCACGGATCTCAATGCGCGCTTTTTGTTCCTGGCCCCTCCCTCGGTGGAGGAGTTGGAGAGGAGACTGCGTGGACGAAACACTGAGACAGAAGAAAGCCTGAAGAAACGTCTTGCGCAGGCTAGAAATGAGCTCGAATACGCCAAGGAGCCGGGTGCTCATGATAAAGTCGTCGTCAACGATGATCTTGAGAAAGCTTATGCTGAGTTGAGGGACTTCATTGTCGACGGCGATAAATTCGGCGCCCAGCAATAATCCGAGACCCCCATTCACGCTGTATCTTATAGACGCACATAACGACTTCAATACTTGTGTGCTCAATGTTATTAATTTAGCTCAGAACCACCGGAATCTTTACATTGCCTTCCGACCTTCTGCATGAAGCAATCTACAATCACTCGTCTCGCTGGAGCCAAGATGAATAGATACATGAAACGACGATACGATCGATGTTTAGCGCTTCGTTGCTAGCTTTCAGTGGATCTGAGACGAAAGTCCATAGGAAATAACGAGGTAGTTAGGTCACTCCCTCACAAATAGAATTGTTCAAGTGACGACGGGTACGATCAAGGAATTATTGAGTTAAACAGGATATCTGTAGAAGCATGCCGAGACGAAGTTGGTGCTATGAGATTAAAACATTAAGGAAAGAAAGGGAAGAAAGTTACCCTGATTGGGCTCACTGCCCATGTTTCATCCACGCAAAGAAGCAAGGGCAAGCTAAATGCTCAGACATATCAATAGCCATTCATGGTCATGCGTTGCGAATTACGGCTAAGCTCCCTGTCGGCTGAGGGACTAATGGGCCGGCTGCTACCAGGATGGCCGCCAGCAGCACTGCTCTCCTTGAGTGCCAGAAGTTGTTTAGCACGGAATGTCTCGTAGTGAATCTGGCTTGTCGTCTCGATAAGGTCCTGAAGATGGGTGCGGGTAAGGAAGTTTCGAAGATAGACGAATTCGCAGTGATTCTCATCCTCCACGTTGATGACACCCCAGCGGTTCTGGCGGCCGCGAACTTGCTGGCCATTGACGACGATCGTTCTTTCGCTACCAACTACAGCGAATGGAATGATGTCCTACACGGACATTAGAACGGGAGGCACCATGAGACCCGAGGCGGTTACTGACCTTGATTTGAGCATTGACTGCACGCTCTTCGTCATCAAGCTCATCGTTGTCGTAGGGGTACATTTTCAGACTGTGGAAGGCGAACTCCTCCTTAATTCTTTCCTTGAACGCCTGGCGTTCCTCGAGAGTAAGCGAGTCAGCTTTAGCGATGACGGGAACCACGTTGACCACGTCAGAGAGCTTCTTTAGGACGACAATGTCGATGGGTTTAAGACTAATTGGTACTTCATCAGTTTTTGTAAGATCAAGCCTAAGGTCACTATACTCACGCATGGCCAGATGGCTGGATGAAGAACAAGCAGCAGTGAATGCGGGTGTCTTGAATATAGCGGTCACGCTGAGCGGTAAGCTCCTTTCGGAGATATGCGGAGTGTTGATCCTTTATGTACTTCACAATAGGATCCCAGCTGATCACAACATTTGTTAGTTCGACTTTTGTGGCTGAAATTTCTCGGTTGCTTTACCATCTGTCATTGTTGACCTGATCGCCGTAGCCCGGGGTGTCGACTATGTTTAGCCTGAGACGCACGCCATTCTCCTCAATGACTTGGAAAACCGATTATTAGTCTTATGGTTGGGCTTATTAGCGAAAAGTGAGGAACATACTGTGCGAGACAGTTTGTATTTCGGTTGTTGAACGAACGGGTTCGTTAGGGGCGAGGCGACCTTTGGAGTCGATCAGGTGAGAAGCGAAGATAGTGTTGATCAAGGTCGACTTTCCCAGGCCGGTTTGTCCTATTCATATGTATCAATTCCAGTCGTACGCCAGGATTGAGAATGTGCTCAGACGTGCTGCAACTCACCGACGCACATCACATTGAACTGAAATCCACGCTTCAACAGCTTTCGCTCAATCTGAGAAGTGATACTATCGAAACCGACATGACTACGAGGAAAGACCGACGCAGGGGTGGAATTCGCCGCGGCAGCCATGGTGCTGGAAGAGAGAGAAGATGGAGAAGGAGGGGATGTGGAGAATGGGCTGATTGATAGTGGTCGTAGATAGTAGATTGGTATCTAGATAGTAGGAGTAGCAACCTCAACAAAGTGTCGGTGGAGGAGGGGAAGGGAGAAGCAGTGGGCTAGTCCAAGGTTAAAACGAGAGACGGACAGCAGTCCTTCAACGAAGGGCCAAGGTAGGAGGAGTGAGCCCGAGGAAGGAACGAGACTAATGAAGCAAACAAGCGAGAGAGAGAGAGAAAGAGAGAAAGACGGACTGATGCAGTGGATGCATTCCCCTTAAGTTGTTCCCTTTGGGTTGCCGTTGTTGTCGCGACTCAGGGGGTCCGCTAGTCCAGATTCAGATTAGCGGCTCTCCAGACCCCAATCGGGCCATTCGCCGCCAATTTGAAGCTTCAATTGAAGATTTATTTGTTTCCGCATTGAATCCGCTTGCCTATCAGTCCTGACGCTGCCCCCGTTCTGTGTGCTCCTTCACGACCCCCTCATCCAAATCGTCCTCAGCATCCCAATGTCCCTGCGACTGTTTTCCTCCCGTCTATCCGCCCAGGGGCTGTCCCCGGCCGGTTCACTTTCGCCGGCTCTCGCCAACGCCGCAGTCGGACGCTGGTCCCAATTCACACTCAATGCTTCTGCCGTGTCGCAGTCTCTCTTGAGACCGGCCGCATTCACGCTCAACATCCCTGGACTCTTGTCTGATATCTGGGAATCTGTTCTCCGCGCCGTGCCGAAGAAGAAGACCTCCCATATGAAGAAACGTCACAGGCAGATGGCCGGCAAAGCATTGAAAGATGTCAAGAGTCTTAGCACCTGTTCAGGGTGTGGCCAAATCAAGCGCTCACATGTGCTGTGCCCGAATTGTGTTGCTAGTAAGTGTAACTACCTTAACAGTGACTTGGGAGCCCATCTCATCAGTTAATTCCATCGTCAGGCATTAAGAAGCAATGGGGTCGCAAAAATACAGAATGAAGCGAACAGACGAGGTGGCTCGAGGTGATGATAGATGTTTGAATTATGTTTGGCTGGGATTGTATAATTATCGGGTCCATATGATGTGTAGGATAAAATGCTGCATGGCATTCGGCGTTTGGTCCAACTAAGGGTTCATGTTTTATTCCACTTTTTGTTCACTTTTTGTTTCTCTTATATTTTCATCATCTTCATGTTACTGTGTACCTTACGGCTCGTATTGTTTATGTCCTTCAATTCGTTGGAGCTATTTGCAATCAGAATTGGTGGTGGTAAAAAGACTTGATGTTCCGTGCGTGTACCCGCGATTCATGATCTCATCCAGCCGCCTGCGAGATTGTCCCGCCATGGTTGTGATTTAGCCTTATTTATTTTGTCTTTGACAACACCCAGCTCCTGCAGCTAGCGACCACATTACCTCGACCCGCTCGTATCATTCTGCGTCTGTCAAAAATCAATGTCTTGAGCTGACTCGGAGCTGTCATGGTAATGTCTATACCAGAGACTGTCGTTTGTTCGCCGCTTTTATTCTAACTCCAAACCTGGCGGTTCTAGTCAAAGCAATATCTTTCCTGCGGTTCCGCAGGCAATGGTTCGTATGACCAAGTAGAAACTACCATTTACTCCCAGAATCATGCTAAATGTCATGCGTAGCACACCCTACTGACATTTACGGACTCGCCGTGACCGATAAGTTCTGCTTGTCGGCATCTGGCTCCTCTTCTTTGAAAGTCCATTCGACGGTTGATTCTGACTTCCCACTGGTCCAGTCCCTTGATAACGCCCATAAACTTGGCTGTCATCATGTAGTGACCAACGCGAAAGGACTACGGGCAGCTAGCATTGGGTTTGGGGGTGAGATCGCGATCTGGTCCTGCCACGACGGCGTATGGGCGAAGGATAGCATCGCTTCAGGTAGGTGATTCCTCTTATCTGCCTGGGCCAGGCAATTCAAGAGCTATACTGATCTGATCTCAGTCAATCAGACTGGGTCTGAAGGCATCTGGGCAATCGCCATGTCCGAGGACGGGCAATACCTTGCTGGTGTCAGCCAAGATGGGCACGTCAAGGTCTGGGACCTGAATGCCAGTGGTGAAGAGATTCGAGACTACGAAACGAAAGGCAGCTTCGGTACCTGCATAGATCTGGTAAATTGTGAAATTCACCCATTCTTTGGTCAATTAAAGCTCATACTAGGCTGTAGTCCGCAGATGGTCGATTCCTTGCTAGCGGGCATGAAAATGGTAGTGTCTACATTTTCAGCACTGAAACGGGCCGCATGCCATTCAGTTTATCAGGTAAAGGATTGACTCGCTCCTATCTCTGCAAGTCGCAAGTGCTCTGACTATCTATCTCGTTTGCGAATAATAGGCCTTGTGAAACCCGTTAGAGCGGTTGCTTTCTCACCAGGAGGGAAGTTCCTTGCTGCTGCCGGAGATTCAAAGGTGATTGTGTTATATGACACATCATCTGGTGAACAGGTAGCCAATCTATCGGGTCATACAGCATGGGTTATGTCTCTTTCATGGAGCAATACGGGAGAATACCTTCTCAGCGGGTAAGTACACCCGCGGTACACGCGCGCCTTCTAGTAGTGGTCCTGACAGTCAATAGCTCTTTTGATGGCAAAGTCAAGGTTTGGTCAATCGACACTAGAGCGTGTGTAGCCACTCATTCTGAGACTGAGAAATCCATATGGAGTGTGAGATGGCTGCCGAAGGTCGGGCGTTCGGAAGGCTTCGCCACGGCCGGGGCGAGTCGAAGTATATCATTCTACCGCGAGGCTACAGGTGGTTGATCTGGACTCGCGTGTATGACAGCTTTGACAGAGGCTGATTGAGGAGTTCAGGCCAAGGGCGGAAGGTTATTACCTTTCTGCCGCAGACTCCCCTTTTTATCTCTTGCCTAAGTTCAGGTGCGATGTGGCTACGCTGGGGTTTCTTATGCATATGGCTTGTATTCCGGCAAAATTATTGAGGTGATATCCATAAGCATGTGTCATCAAGCATTTCTGTCCGTCCAACTTAACTCGCTACTTCATTGTTTCGACAAACAATTTCCGCATCCTCTTGAGGAACCCACCAAAATCGCGATCTTCATTTACAATGTCGAGTTCGCGCTCCAGCGCCTCCCGATCAAGCTTGGGTCGCGTGTGGAAGACATCATAATCCCGACTGGCCGTTCCAAGCTCGAACCAAGCCTCGGCCTCCCAGTCTTTCTCGAGTAAATGTGTGTAAACAAACTTCAGCCTATCTTCCCGGCCGGCCCCCTCGATTCGTAAACACAGATAATCTTGCCAAAAGTCTAGCTCCGGAACATTAAGCCGAGCCTGCTCATCAAGGTATTTGGCGTGCAATTTCTGCGCTTCTAATCTCTGATTGATCATTTTCTGAGTCTCGTCGATTTGCTGCTTCAAGCGATCACGCTTAGCGAGCCGCGAGTCGCGCTCCAAGATGACAGATGAGATGGCCGCATGCATCTCAGCGGCCTCCGCAGCCTCCTTTTGCAAAGTCTGTTGATGGGTTTGTGCTTTCAAATCGAGAATCTCGATATCTCTGTGTCTCATGCGCTGATCCTCTGGAAGCCGCGGTGTTAGCGGAAGGCAAATCGCGGCCTAACGCGTCCGACTGCTGTGCTTGCTTACCCTGAAGCTCTGCCAACCCGCTTTTGAACTGATTCCTCTCTTCTAGAACTTGTTTCCGGCCGCGCTCGATAAAGGCATCAAAACGAGCTGTAAATTGAGCCATGCGGTTGCGTAGGTCCTCAAAACCAAAGTTGATGCTGGGCAAGGAGTCGGCCATCGACGGCGCATCAGCCGACGCGAGAGGCGGGCGCATGCCACTCGTCGAGAGTGAGGGATCAAATGCATTATTCATTGTGAGTCTAGATATTAGTGAGCTAGAGATGAGCCGTTTGCTGATTACGGCGTGAATGGGAAAAGATGGTTGTTTTCTTTGCGACTTCCATGGACGGACGCTAGTAGACTAATTGAGTAAATGACTGTAAATCGTACCTGTTGCGGCGCAACCCCCGGGTCAAAAGCTTGGCGTCGATGGATCTAGTATATTTTTTTCGCCATCCGGCCCTGGCCTGTCTAGACCGAATTATTTCATGCAGCTACAAGAGAAAGACACTTTATTGCCACGTTTGCATGGGTTCTGACTTGCTGGCTGCTCAGAGCCGCTTCAGTTCAGTGCCCTGCCCAAGACTTTGTCTTCCATCCCAGTCCTATTAACACATTGGGTTCGGTGCTCGATATGCTCACGACTACACAGCCTCAGGTAGAGCATATTGCCCGGAGCAAGAACAGACCCAATGGATGAACAACCTCTAGGTGCTCTACAGTATGGGCATTTGGGACGACCGACATATAATCCAGAAACCCAGACTTGGCTGTTTCCACGAACATTGGCCTCAAGTAAGCTGCCTGAGCCACAAGGAATGCCTTCGCTGGCAAGACTGACCTCCTCCGTTCGAAGATCTTCCCCTTAAGTATGCCGGGGTCAACAAACATACCGTCAAATCGCCTTTGACTGCATCTCAGTCATCGTTGATTGAGAACAAGGGCCTCCTGCCTCAGGTCTATCCGGAGCTTGCGGCCTGTTGGCCTCTTGCGTCGGACGAAAATACCTCGCATATCATCACGGCAGCTAGCGAAATATGCGATCCCTCGGTTTCGGCCCTTCTGGATTTCGGTTACGCAGTAGATTTGGAGAATGGCGAGTCGGGGACCCGCGGGGTACCAATCGCGGTCATTGCATCAGGAGAGTGCGGGAATGTTGTATCCTTTCGCAAACTCGAAGAGGATGCGATTGAGTTGAGACAAGAAACAACAGCCAAAGCGCGCGTGTCCTCTATCGGAGATGTCGAAAAAGCCGACTGGTTCGTGGGAGGTGCAGCCATTCGCCAGATCTGTTTTGCTCGAACAGTAGAAGAGCAAGCGACATGGATAGCAGTTCGTTCACCTCAATTCACGGCTATCTTCAGACCGCAGTATCACAGGAATCCCGTTCCTACACCAGTTGCTCGACTACGTGATTATACATTGTCGAATGAATGCCGCATGTCTCGCCTTGATGCCAACCCGGTGGTCGAAATCTCGATCTTACAAACTGGGGGGTTTGCACATGCAGACGTGACCTTCAATCCTTGGTATCAGAAACAACTTGGCATTGTTGATGTGCGAGGAAGATGGAGTGTATGGGACGTGTCTGGTCGCTACAATAAGAATAAAAGTAGTTGGATGACTACATGCGTTAGAAATGGTTCATTGCCATGGCTCGATATCGATGAGGGTCAGGGCGATGACCGCCCCCGTCATGATGGATGGGCGGCCATTGAATGGGTGGGAGATGTTAACAGCTTTATTGTATGTGACCGGCGCTGCCCGATGTTATATCGGACGCGAGACGGTCAGGTATACCCATCCTCCATTGAGCTCGGCTTGAAGAGGAAGTCCGAATGGATATTGGACGTCAAACGAAGCGCCAGCAACGTCTCACATGTCTTCATCCTGACAACATCCCGGATTTTCTGGCTGGCTCTTGCGCCCGAATCTGGCTCAGACACTAGCGATTCACGACCTGCAGTATTCCCTCAAATGTCATGGCGCCATTTTCGGGATCCCGAAGACACGACAATGCGGCTTGATTCATTTCTTATACATGAAGGTAGAGCTCTCCAGCATGGCAGTCCATATGTAAGTTTGACAACATGCTGACAGCTGCTCAACAGATTTTTATCTCATCCTCTACTCACAACTGAATCCTTTCACACTCGTCTTCCCTTGTTCTTATGTATGTGATACCGAAGCAGAGACATTAACTTTACACGACCCATCGATGTTAGACATCCCACCGTCTGATATTCCTTCAGAATACCAGCTATCACCAAACAGTGCCCAGTTTTCCACGCTTGTAATGAGAGAAACCAGTCACCTCTCATTGCCAGTCCGCAACAAATCTCACGACTGCAGAGCCAGCATTTTGAAGCTTTTCGCATTAGACTCGCATCTCTCTGTACATGAATTAGTCTATGTCGGATTTGCCCGTAACAGTGCCGCAGACGGGGACTCACTACCCATAGATGTCTTGAAGGCTAAAAAGCGAGCTCCAGGAATGTCACGGACTCGGTCAACTACCTTCCACGATGACTTCATAACGCACGATTGGGACGAGTTGGCTTCACGAAGTGGCGTCTTGACCTTAGATGCTGCAATGTCCAGTATCACACCACTTGCGTTTTCGCAGTGGACGCTTGATTATACTCAGATCTACGCCGTGGTAACTGGCAGGTTGGGGCTGGGATCGAGCAAGAAGGGCGCTGACAAACGTATCGGCGAAAGCCTCGATTATATGGTCCAACAGCTAGACAGGCTACTTGCAGATGCCGAGGCTAGTGACAGGTTCAAAAATCAGACAGGGTGAGTTTGCTTCAAGAGATTTATTCTCATCAAACCCGCCCTTGCACGATTCTAACGTTTTCGCAGGCTTGAGCTCCTTGGTAGCGGCCTAGTCTTGGATGATATTGATCAAAATGCGCAAGACTGGACTTCTTTCTGGTCACGCATTGCCCACGGCCGCCCAGGTCTTCTCAACCACGTCTATACCACGATTCAAGCCTCCAGTATCTTCAGTACGATTACTTCTCAATCCCTTACGAAGGCCGATTTGATCCAACCACTTAGTCCTTTAACACTATATGATGAATTGGTGAACGAATGGCTTGGTTATCTACCTCATGATATACCCGGGCGCACAAGGATCATGAAAGAACAAATCATCCGAGGCGTGGTAGCCGATCTAATTCTAGCACAATTCAGCATCCGAGGCGGGACAGGACATGGTTCCAGGGATCCTGAACGAGCAGATTTTGTAGTTCCATCTTCGTCTGGGGCAATACCAAATGAGAATGAGGAGAGCCTATCCTTTGCTTTGTCTGGGGAGGACAACAGGAGTGCACCCAGCAGTAGCGGGATGAGCAGGAAGAATCGAGAGCCAGACGTGAACGAGCCTGAGCCGCAAGCGAATATATGGCCAGTGTACACTAGTCTATCGGCTTTTACCAGCTTCAAGAGCGATCAGGTAATGAATTCCGGCACAGCAAGCATGCTACAACACTGGAGACCTGGAGTCAACCCCGCCGACTATAGCTGGCAAAGGCATGTAGCAGGAACTCAAGGCATGACGGCCATTACTCCCAAGCGGCGGCATTTACGAAGGACGACATCGTTGCATGGAAGTCAACAAGCTGGCTCGACTCCTCTTCCCATTCCTATCGTCCCAGCCGACACTACTCGGACTTGGGGAAGCCAGCCAGAACACCTTGCGCCGCCCAGTTTCCGATTGCACAGCAGTCAGATGGCGGACCAGGATGTCTCAATGACACAAATCGAGCGCGGCATGTTTGGTGGTCGAGAGGCGGGGCGGAAAACCGTGGCGAAGGCGAGGAAGAAGAAGCGGGCGGCGGGCTTCTAGGGGATGATGAAGCTGTCATCTGCGAATTTATCATCTCATGTAACTTACATATTATAGTTAACTTTGACTCAGGTACGGTATCTGCCAGGAATATTAATCCCACCGAGCATACGGTAGGATGAGCGATTATTGCATTTTCTCTCCCTGTATGCTCAGCCCCACCAGTAGATAAACAGACAGACCGAGAGGATAGAAATAGAGGTTGCTCGCCAGGTCAATAGTCGTTGGTCTACGGAATACGTATGCTGTCACCTCATTAACAAAGACAAAAGAAAAAGAAAAATCGAGGGTAAGAACAACTCTTCTCTCCCTCTCCTTTCCCCTTTCCGACCATTTTCTACCCGGTGAGCTGTCAACTTGGAGCAAGTTTCAGGTACAATTATCCCATAGCTAGCAATTATTTTGTGTTTTGCCCCACCAGGCGTTAAATCCCCTTCCCTTTCCCCCTTGCGTCTCCAGCCTTTAGCCCCGCCTTCATTCTTTATCATTATCGACAGACAGCCCGTCGCAAAATCCGGTCCCCCCTCCCCCTCTTCCCTCGAGACTAACTCAGACACACAGATCTTGACCAGCTGAGAACTTCCCCTGATTCTCTTCTGTAGTCTGAAGAATACAGAAAAAAAAAAGAGAACCAAAACTAGAAATTCTGACCGCCACTCTTTCCTTCTTGCCATTCGCGATAGCGCTCCCTCCCCCTCCTTCTACCTGTCAACATGTCCGATCACCAGTACAAATTCGACATCACCATGAGCTGCGGTGGTTGCTCCGGAGCCGTGGAACGAGTCCTTAAGAAGCTTGATGGTATGTCTATTTGCCCACCAAAAATAACGTTTTCCAATAATTTGGTCTGGTCTGGTCTGGTTTGGTTTGTTTTTGTCTCTTGGAAAATCCCGCCCGAAACAATGTGCTTCTCCCCCTCGCAGTTCATTAACTTGGAGGGAATCTTTAGGGGTCAAGTCCTTCGATGTGAGCCTGGAATCGCAAACCGCAACGGTTGTGACCGACTCCTCCGTGTCATATGAGACTGTGTTGGCGACAATCAAGAAAACTGGAAAGACAGTTACCGGTGGGAGTGCGGATGGGGAGCCCCAGAGTGTTTGAATGTGTCGGACGTGAAGAAGACAATGGGTGATTGATGATTTGGGTGCGATTGTCGAAGATGGATCTTACAGGAGCTGTACTGAGGGATTCCCATATTTACCCTTTCTTCTGGAAAACGATATATGTCTTCCATTACGTATGTTCAAATCACCTTTCGTGGAAATCTGGAACAAGCCTTTTGTTCAAATCTTATCTTCTACACTGATAGCATCGAGGAGGATAGTATCTTTCTTGGCTCATAGCTTCATTTGTTACAGCATTGGGTATCGTGTACGCTCACTTGTAAAGTATGTATGTACTATACATCACCATAGACATTTACACTGCGACTGGAATGAACAAAGTTGACACCGACCCCTCACATGGGCAACAATATCAATCCACGATAACGATGGTTCTGCCCTCTAAAACCGGAGGACGAGGACGTTCAGACTCTCTTACATAAGTAGGACACGGTGGTTCATTGGTTTGTGGGCCGTAGCGTGAAGGCTCGAGTAGTTCCCTGCTACAAGTGTTACAGTTAGCTTGTGACGACTGAGAGGCTGTGACGAAGCCAGGCGATTCATGTTCACTATCCATACCGTGAAAGCACCGATACCTCCCCGTAATGTCTGTCAGTGTAACGGTTTGCGGCTTTTGAGGTATCATGCGTCTCATGATAGCGCTGACTCGCGTCATCCACTACGCCATACCTCTGGATAGCGGATCTTGACCATGGATCCGCATGGGTGCTGTCCGGAAGGGGTCTTGATTCCGGTCCAGCTTGCTGATTAACTTGTTGACTACCGTAGACAAGATCAACCCTATCCGGGCCGGGACGGGTGTAGTTTGTCTGAAGACGACGCTCCAGCGGATAATCCAATGGATCAGAATTACTCAGGTCAATGGCACGAACAAAGTCATCGGCATAATGACCTTTTCTCTGAGGTTGCTCTTGTGGAGCAAGAGCATATCCCGGATTCCTGCCACTCCATGTAGTTGGCTGTATCGTTTCCACCTCGGGTAGCCTTAAGCGATCATCATCGTGCTTGGGCACCTGCGAGTCATGATTATCTCTCACCATGCCAACGGCTTGAACAGGCATCAGCCCTTCCTTGCTCCTGTCCTCGACAAAGGCATACCGTGAGGTTGGCACAACACGAGGTTCAACGGGATGCCTGTAATGGGCGGGTCCACCACGGTCAGGTATATCAAACGTGGCATTATCATGCTTGCGAGACATTTGATGCGGGAAACCCTCATCCCTGAGCCTAACACGGGTGGTATAGGATGGATATGGGTGTTCCTCGGGCTGACGATCAGTAGCATGGACATATCCAAACGGGGCTGCATAATGCCTACGGACAGAAGGGTCTTCTTGAACTGGAAGTCGTGCCGGAGGGACATATGCAGAGGAAGCCGACTGAGCACTTCTCACAGGAGCAGAAGGAAGACTAGGGCGGATATTTTCTGTTTGTATCGGCTGATGATAGAATGCAGTTCGTCTGCGCTTTGCTGTCTGATACTGTGTAGTCTCATCAATATCTCGACGTAGAAAGTCCTGGGGAGGTAGATGAGCGGGAGTTACAGAGCGGATTGCGAACCCTCCGGACATCCTCGTGGCAAGGTTCTCCACGGGGCCACAATTGGATCGTCCTAGTTCCGCGGAAAAGGCGTTCTCTATAGAAGGCAAGGCGTGATCCTCAGGGTGGGAGATTGTCCTGCTGTGGCCAAGTTCCAGAGGTTTCTGCTGCTTTCCAACTGGGTGTCCGGATACGTTTCTATGGCTACTCACAAAAATAGGGCCGTTTGGTGACTCCTGGCGAGGAATAATCCGGCTTTCTCCATGAGAAGGGCGCACTCGCTCCAAGGGAAGCCCACTGAGCTGTGGTGAAAATCTCTTGACCTGGTACGGTCTTTCAGTTGCATGAAGCAATGCATACGGCTCGTTATTGTTAGCATGAAGTCTACAAAGAGTCGTCCCGAGAGAATGATTTGTGTGATTGGGATTGTCAAGGGCAAACTCACTTGATGCTCCATTGCAGGATTTGCGTATGCCGTCTTCGGTGCAGTGCTGAGTGTCTCCACATTAGTTGTAACCTGGGATGGAACAGAGAATGTGCGCCTATCCTCGAGAGGGAAGAAGAGTATGTCTGAGCCAGAGTCGGCCGTATCTTGCAAGAGCCGTCGAGCGACCAATGCTCGTCGAAGTCGAGGTGAGTTACCAGGCGGTCTGCGTGGATTAGCCCCTTCCGCTATGTTTCTATATCTGTTAATGGCACGGTCCCATGCTTGGTATCGGCTGAATCCACGACGATCAAGCTTGTCATTCTTTGGAATTTCCGGGACAAAACGAAATCCGGGCGGTGCTTCCTCGTCTGATATATCCAGCTGGGTGTCTCGTAAGCTAGAGCCGGCATAAGTGACTGGGTTTGTCTGTAGTTCTTCAGCACGCGGGTTGCTGGAGACAACTACCACACTTTGGTCACGGTCGAAGGGCTGTATTAGCTCCTCCTCAGTGTCACTGTCTTCGTCATCAGATATCACAATGACCTCACGGAAAACGTCCTCAAGGACGATCTTTCCATTCTCGTCATCACCCCGCCATTCGACCAACTTGGCCAAGGTAGGCTCTTCAACCGTGCTTCTCGCCTCATGGAAGGATGTTGCTTTCAACAAACGATCGTATTCCGTGTAAACGTGACGTATGTGGGCCACAACTGCGAGCTGGGCGCGACGGGCCAGGGGTAACTCAACTGCTGTGCCTACTTTGCGCTGACCCTGGAAATAGTTTCAGTATCTTTTGTCCAACACGTTTTTGCGGTCCTGTTGAGGGTTCAAAGGCCTGTTTGCGAATGTTATCCACCTACCTTCTGGAAAGCAGTTTTTATGATTTGATTCAGGTCATTGTCTGGAATATTAGGGAAGAGATCCTTGATTACATCCCTCGCTTCGGTGTTGATTGTCGTCTGAGAAGCTTCTGAATTAGCACGTTTGCGGGATTTGGTAATGGCAGAAGTCGGAAATTGCATTGTTTTCCCTGCTGTTGTAAGGTGGAGTCCCAGGTCCATACAGACTGTTGCGACAACCGCGCTGGGAAAGTGATATCCTATCCGGTGAACATGCTGGGATAGGTTGTGTGTGTGCATATGCGGTGTTGTCTATGACCCAGGATTAGTAAAAAGAAGCCGGGCCGTGGGAAACGAGAAAGTTGAGTAAAGGAGATGGCTGTCGGGCATACCGAAACAGCAAACACCTTCAAACTGTCCTTCCGACAGACTTCCTTACACGCAGTCGTAAGCCGAGGGTTGCCTGCAGGAATGAAGGTATAACCAGGAGGAGCTCTTGCTTCAAAAGATATCTAGATTGTTTGTGTCAAGATTGCCCCGAGAGATATGAGCAAGGCGAAAGAACATACGACACTGCGAAGTTTCTTCTTCTCCTGCGTAACGGATTCCAGAATCACTTTATGTTTGCGTGCCGTCTTCTTGACATTTCTGCTTGGCGCACGTCTGGCGAAGACCGAGGTGGCTCTCCGCGTAACTCGGACCATGGTGTTAGGAGAGAGGTCTTCTCATGTGTCTACAGAAGACAGTCCTTCATTTTATTAAACCGAGTTCAGTTTGTCCAGGTATACACTGCATTGGTAGATAGCCCAGCGCTGAGAAATGAATATTACCACACGGAGGAAGTCCAGAATGCGATAAATTTCTGTTGTCCCAAAAAAGGGGATGATGTGGTGAGACTAATTAGTCAAATCACATATGTCTACACAACAAGGCGCGCGCACTGGTACTCCGCAGCATTAATCACGGGCCAGCTCGAAGACAGAGGACCGGTAGGCGCGAAACACTTTGTTCCTTTGGTTGACCCCCGCTGCTGTGAATGAGAAGCACGGTGGAAGAAATGATAAACAGCTTGACAGAAGTCCGCTTGGAATCGGGGGCAGGTAGTATGATGGAGCGAGGGAGCAAGCAAGCCCGGGCGGAGCATGCAGGCAAGGTGGGAGGGTGGAAGGGAAGCTAAGAAGCCCGACCCAACTTAAACCATTTGCAGCCTAACGCGCGGTGCGGTGCTGATAATAATGCTGGTCGTATCTGGCTAGCGTCAACTCCCGCCGCCGCCACCGCCGGCTTGCAGCATTTGATAGTTATTGTGTACAAGGTACTGTACTCTGTACTCTCAACTCTGTACATTGGCATGCTCTACTTCCTACGCCGGTACGCGACACCAACCACCATATTCGAGCAAGATGGTCTCTCCAGTGCAACCCTTAAAGTCTCTGGGAGACTCACAAGTTCTTGTCAATACCTACCGCCAGTTGTATCGTCACGGGCTGAAAGCCGTGAATTATTCGACGCCAGCTCGATACGTCCTTCTGCATACTCTACGCTCCTCCTTCCGATCGTCACCTCCAGAGAGTCTGGACCAAAAACGAGTCGCCAATACCATTCAGTTCCTCCAGAGAGCAGCGGAAGCCGCAGGTCTGGAACACAAGATTGTGAAGAACATGATGATCATGAAATACTGGCAACATCCCCAAATAAGGCGAGAGCTCCGAACGTGAGTTTGCATTCTTTCGGTATGAGATTGGGATTGTTGTCCCTGACCCTATTTAGTATCAAAGGCTTAGGGGTCGAACCCCATGATCCTAAACTCAAGGAGGACGCCTGGCAGCAATACAATTTGACTTTGAAGCTCCTGAACGAGAGCTTGGGAACTTGCCTCGTATAGAAGGTCTACTTCGATGGCGTAAAGGACTCGTCTGGACCACAACCATCAACTACATGGCAACAATACTACCTCCAAAGGTTTCGGGCACTATCGTCCGTAGGTCCTCTGTGTGCCATCACTTATGGGTTGACCGGGCTCATGCTTGCCGCCTTGACATAAAAAGAACGACAACCTCTCTTCGCAGGCCCTGTCCGTGAAAAATGCTCACTCTACAGATACACTGGCAACTACAAGGCTAGGCTATGGCTGGGCTCCGAGGTATTAGAGGAATGGCTCTCTCAAGCCGGTGGATGGTTACGGCCATAATGAGTCCTGACCTGATAGGAAGGTAAAACACAAGTCTCAGCTAAATACGTATCGTGGCCAATAGGTGTAAAGATGGCGAGATAACGGTATTCACGAAACTGATGGTTCATTTTGCCAACCTTCTGGATTCGTTGTCCCGCACGGAAGTTTGTCATCAAACTTTACCACCACACATGCTGGCAAGCATATTACTGAGCAAATAACTTCGATGTCTCGAAGTACATCTCTGGATGCAGCAGACTCAAGTGTATGTACCGTCCAGATTCTATTGTTTGCTTGACCCATTAAACCGCCTGCGGTAGGGCATCAAAGGTACAGCCGCCGTGCGGCCCCTGCCAGTTCAATACCAACAAAGCAAAGAATATAGGGGATATATAGTGCAGGAAGTAACAGCATCCCGAACGCACCGTATCTATATGCCATCATGTGATATAGCCCAGCCGTTGGAGGTTGGCCTGAGGTTGGGGAAGATGCAGATAGCATCGCTGAGATCATTTGTTGTGGATTAAAAAATTGCGGAACGAGTCCCAGTGATCGGAATCTGCGTAACTAGCATAATTATTAGCGTCACACAAGGCAGGTGAGAGAGCGAGAGTCAGAGCATACATGTACACCATGCTACTCCGCAGACTTGACATCAATGTATCTGGATACCAACGGAAGATGTACATAACAAGTGCCCAGGATAAGCTGGCAAAGACCGGCCAGGCATGGCTTTCCATCTGACTTCGCGTTTGCGGAGTGATGAGAGAGGAGAGCGGGTGCATATCTGGACGAATGGCAAGTTTGGCTAACGCAAGTATTACACGAGCGAAGATATAGATCACAATCTCGCAAAATTGTTAGTGGACGATTAAGGCGTTTGAGTACCCAGCGATTTACCTGTTGAGTGATACTCGTTTTATGCCGACCAAAGACTGCATAGCCTCCTAGCAACCCAGCAAAAAAGCTATCGTATCGTCCTTCTTTGCCAACAGCAACCGGATTGATATTACGCAGCAAGATCATTGAGCCCTTGTATATCAGCGCAAAGGTGGCCAGGTTCCGAGCATGTTGGCGCGTGGCTTTAAAGACAAGCTTGACTTTCTCACGGAAGCTGTGTCATGATCAGTATGATTGATCTATGTTTCTTGAGAGAAAGACTGGATTGCCATACGTTCCTGAGCGAAAAAGCAAGATCATCCTATGGGCGACGAGCACATCGAGTCAGCCTGGCTCTTTACAATAGAGAGGCCCGAATATCTGGATTCCGAGGGAACATACACCAGAGCATGCGGAAAGCGGACCTTGGCCCCATAGACAGCGCCATTGCGAATGCCCTTGAGGAGGGACAGAAGCGGCGCAAGCTCGGGATTAGTGACCAGAGCATCCAGCGAGGCCTAAAAAAATGGTTAGAACGGCATGACTCCTGAGTTATACTGGGTTCGACAGAGTGCGACCTTACTGTGAGAGCATCCATCGTGCTTGTTTCAAGAAACTCGGCAAAGTAAATGAATTTAGTGAAGCGATCAGTCTTGCTTCCTCCGGCAAGATTCAATAGGGAAACTGCAAATCATAGAGACTTCAAGGTTCGCAAGCAACAAAAAAAGCTGCCCCAAACGTAGACAACATCTAAAGTACCAGTTCAGGGTAAAGTGGGGGAGTACGGCATTTATGGGAGCTGTGATTATCCGCGAGGCCAGAGACGAGATCCTCGGCATGTGAGAGACGAGCCGAGCGTAACGTCATGGTCACGTGGGCCGAATCCAGCCCCTACTTGTGCGCGAGAGCAACTTGATAATTCAAATTCAAGAAAGCAGGGTTGAGACTGATGAAACTTTTCTATTTGCAAACGTCTATGTAACAAACACGTATCGAACAGGTTCAAATATGAGCTAGGTGCTGGGCCATGGCCAGAGTGAAAACCGAACCCCCAGAAACGCCTCGTGCGCAGTTTAGATAGATATAATAAGTCGGAAAGAATCAAATTGCATGACAATGCATTTCAACGCGAGCTTCATGCCGTCTTAGCTCTCTTGCGGCCTTCATCCTCCGAGATCTCATCCACGTCCATCATGTCCTGATCCGCATCGTCATCCGACTCCACACCTGCGCGGCGCTTCAATCCCTTCATTTTCCGAGTCTGCAGGCCGCTGAGATCCTGCTTGCCCAGGTGAACACGACCGATCTTGTCACCAATCGAATCCATGCTGATGTTCTTCTTCATCTTGATCTCCTCGTTGGGCCTCTTGCCTTGCTTCATAGCCTCCTTCATCGCGTCCCGAGGGGCCTCCTGCAGACGTCCAACCTTGAAGTCGAACTTGGGCCCAATCTCCTCCAGCTCCACCCGCGGGAGCTTGTGGCCACTACGCTTCGTCCGAAGCTTGTACCAGCGCAAGTGAACAACAGGAGCCAACCCTTCAGTAGGCTCCTCGGCACCGATCATCAAAATATATTGGAGCCCCTCCACGTCAATCTTATCGCTCGTCTCACCCTTGAACAGGTCCAGGAACATACTCTTCAGCATGACATGTGCCATTGAGGTTGAGTCTTCCCAAGCACTGCCTGAGAAAAGGATCATGGGCCGCAATCCGATGCCGATATGCATAGCCAGATCAGTATGTTGCTCAGCGTCGGGGTGCGGCAGTAGCATCAATTCGCACATGTCAAGGATCTTGGAATCGAATACACGTGCCATAGTGACACAGTTGGGTCGTTTCTTGTTGCTGCTACCGAACACCACAAGACCACATTCGTTCTTGTTGGCCAGAAATTCGAGACTTTCGACGCTCTCAAACGGGTGAATGTTCTCGTTCTTCTTGTGAAATAGGACTGAATCCGGTCTGGTCAAGGAATGGAAGGTCTTCAGAACAGTGTGTAAAGCTTGCGGACATTTTGAGCCGTGCAGCAACAGCGTGCGCTTGGGGGGTTCGATGAGCTGAGGTTCTTTGGCCTTCAGGATGCGCGCTGTGCGCGCATTCTTCGGTTTTCTGAAGCGATAGAGATTTTATTGTAAGCATGGTGACTGTAAAATGCCAAACGTAGTCGGAAGGAAGTGGTTCTATAGACTTACACTTCTCTGAGCATCTTGACCAATTCTGAGCACCAAAAAGCCTGGTTTGACGTGATAAGGGGTCACTGATCGGGCTCGTGAAAACGAAGAGAAAAAGGCGGAGTGAAAAGTTTTGGCGGAAAGGGTCTTGGCGCCGCTTATCGATAAGCTTAATGCCACGAGTCTGCGTACATACACCTTCCCCAACGTAATAATGTTTTACTAGAGGATTTTTCATTCACTACACGAGTCTTGATCTACGAGCAGTAATTATCGGTCACACTAAAATCCGAGTAAAACATCACATTGGCCAGTACAAAAATATCTAATTCAAATAGTTTCAAGCCGCGAGATCTACTCTAGCCGCAGCTTCTCAAACTCACGGATCTGTTCCTCTAGACGAGTCATTTCACTCTCAGCATCACGCATTTTCTTTTCTTCAGCCTCGCGCACTTCAGGCTTTGCCTTCTCCTGCCATCCAGCACCGCTGATGAGCTTCTGCTGGCGACGCACTGTCTCGCGTGCCTTCTCCAGACTAGCCTTGGCCTTCTCCTCCTGCTCCAAGGCAACTTCCTTGGAAACACGGAGATAGACAGCAGCTTCAGAGCTCACAGGAGCGACCACACAGCCTGAAGGTGGGTTGGTATTCTCCGGGCCGAGCACACTAAGCTCGCCCAGGGTCTTGCCACCCAGGGACTTGATGCTAGTAAGCTCATCCGAGACGGTCCTGTAGCTGGTGGCATCGTAAGTCTGGATGATAATGTCGCCCTTGGTCTTGATCTCATACTGGGCGAGGATCGACCGAATAGACTTCGAGGCATTCAAAATCAGTTCATAGGCAGTCTCAGCCTCGAAATCCTCGAACTCAGGTCTATATTCGGGGTACTTGGCCTTCATGATCGAAATTGTGCTATCTTCGGGACGACGAGGCAGGCGTTGCCACAGGTGCTCAGTGACGAAGGGCATCATTGGGTGGATCAAAGTCAGAGCCCCCTCAAGAGCTGTGTAGAGCGTCTCCTTGGCCGACTGCTGCACTTCGGCCGGGACTTCGGGCGCAAGCAGGAACTTTGAGTTTTCAATGAAAACGTCACAAAGTTGGCCGTACCAGTATTGGTAAGCGATGGATGCCGAAGCAGAGAATTCACGCTGCTCAAGAGCCTCATTCATCTCCTTAGCAGCAGCGTTAAACTTGTGCAAGATCCAGCGTTCCGCAAGTGACTCCTTGCCAGTCTTTGTAGGGGTCGGCCGAGGCTTGAAGTCATCGCCCAACTTGCCAAGCACAAACTTCGTGGCTTGGTAGATCTTATTACAGAATCGACGATAACCATGGATGACCTGGATGTCGAAGGCAATATCACCACCTGATATGGCACCGTCAGTATAGAAGACAATGGGCTGGACAGAGTAGAATCAATTGTTGGGAGGTTTTACTTACCGCCAGTAGTGTAGGACACAAGGGCGAAACGCAGGGCATCAGCACCGCACTCAGGAATACCCTTGGGGAAGGCCTTCTTCTGGTACTTGGTAGCAGTGGCCACCTCCTTGTCGGCAAGGTTGCCGGTGAGCAATTTGGCATGAAGGTCATCCAGCTTGATACCTTCCATGACGTCGAGAGGATCAATGACATTGCCCAGAGACTTGGACATCTTGCGACCCTCAGAATCTCTGATCAGGGAGTGGCAGTACACCTCCTTGAAAGGGACCTTGCCGGTCATCTTAAGACCCAGCATGATCATTCGAGCCACCCAAAAGAAGAGAATATCCCAGCCGGTCTCCAAAACGGAGGTCGGGTACAAATGTTCCAGATCATGTGTCTGACGGGGCCAGCCCAGGGTAGAGAACGGCCATAACCCGGAGGAGAACCAAGTGTCAAGAACATCAGGATCTCTCACCAAAGTGAAGCTCTTACCGGGGAATTTAGCCGCCGCCTTCTGCCGAGCCGCCTCTTCCGTGCGACCAGTAACCCAAAGATTCTCGTCACTGTCATCACCTTCCTCGCCTTCAATCTTCACGAAGTAGGCGGGTGCCTGGTGACCCCACCAAAGCTGTCTGGACAGACACCAATCGTTAATGTTGTTCAACCAGCGGAAATAGCTCTTCTCAGCGGTTTCCGGTCTGATGATGATCTCACCGCTTTCAACGGCCTTGATGGCAGGTTCGGCGAGATCCTTCATCTTCATCCACCACTGAGGCTTGAGAATAGGCTCAATGACATCGTTGGACTTAGCGCAGCGAGGAATCTTCATGGGGTTGTGCTCCCACTTGACATAAAGTCCCTTCTCTTTGAGCATCTCAATGACCTTGTAGCGGGCGTCAAAGCGCTTCATTCCGGCAAAAGGACCACCCTTGCTGTTGAAGGTACCGTCATCGTTCAGGACGGAGATGAACTCGAGATTATGGGCCTTTCCGCGGTTGAAATCGTTGAAATCATGAGCGGGGGTGATCTTGACAGCTCCGGTACCGAAGTCAGGGTCGACGTCCGTGTCGGCGACAATAGGCATCAAGCGATCTACAAAGGGGTGGCGGGCGAACTTGCCGATCAAGTGCTGGTAGCGCTTATCATCAGGGTGGACAGCGATACCGCTATCACCGATCATGGTCTCGGGACGAGTAGTGGCGATCTGAATCCGTTCGTCGGTTCCATCGATTTCGTAGCAGAAGTGAGTCAAGACACCAAACTCAACCTTCTTTTCGTAGCCGGGAACATCGAGAAGGGTACGACCCTCGACCTCCTTGTTCTCAACCTCAAGGTTAGAGAGGGAGGTGTTCATGGCCACACACCAGTTGACCAGCCGGTTGGCACGGTAAATGATACCCTCTTCGTGAAGGCGGACAAAAGTTTCCGTGACAGCTGCAGATAGGTTAGGGTCCATTGTGAAGGCCTCACGAGTCCAGTCGAAGGAGCCGCCGACTCTCCGCAGCGCATTCTTGATGTTGGCGTGGTACTGATCCTTCCAGGCCCAGACGCGCTCGACCATTGCCTCACGGCCGAGATCATGACGGGTCTTCTTCTCCAGCTTCCAAAGCATCTTCTCAACCACGCTCTGGGTAGAGATACCAGCATGGTCCATACCTGGCAGCCACAGAGTGGTCTTGCCCTTCATACGCTGCCAGCGGATCATGGTATCCTGGAGCGCATTGGTAAGAGCGTGACCCATGTGAAGAGCACCTGTCACATTAGGGGGTGGGATTGGAATGACGAAGTAGCCTTCCGGCTTGACCTTGCCATCAGGACCAAATTCAGGCAAGAAGAGGCCACGCTCTTCCCACCATTCATAGCGGCCTTCCTCGATCACCTTGGGATCGTAGGCGTCTGTGGTCTTCTCCTTCTCGATCTTGGCTTTCTTCTCAGCCTTGGGCGCAGCAGGCTTAGCCGCGGCCTTAGCCTGTTTCTCTGCAAACTTCTTGGCTTTCTCGGCCTTACGGCGCTCGCGCTCCACTGCAACAATCCAGAGATTAAGTCAGTATCAATCGAGATGGGCGGGGTTGGCAATCGCTTATTGTGTGGAGACTTATCATGCCGTACATACATTCCTTCTCGCTCTTCACCTTGGGGGGTGCAGATGGGTCCTGTCCTTCGACAAGCTTGGAGGCAGCAGCGGCATCTTGGTTTCTCAATTGTTCGTCGGCCTGGGGAGGGACGTCGGCGACGGGAGCTTTAGGCTCACCAGCTAGAGTACCATCCAAATGGTCAGCCACAGTTCAAACAACAGTCTAGAAGCTTGACACGGCGGGACAGAGACGGATAGCCGCAACATACTCGGGTTCTGGGGGGCAGAAGGTTGGGCCATTCTGGAAAAAGGTCGTGAAGACAACAAGGGAGGAGGAATTCTCCGAGGCGCCACTCGCGCCACTAACTGACGGAATAGTATCTTGACCACCTAGTGACTCACGCAAACACGGCGATGAAGAGGAAGGCAAGGAGGGGGAGGGGTTCGGGTGGTTGTGCGAATGCGGGCAATTAAATTTCCTGGCTCAGAGCAAAGGAACGGAACGAATCAGAGGATGCCGGGACTGGCGGGGCTTTCAGTTGGAACCTCAGTGGATTCAATTTGGCGGGCGGTGGAGTCGAGATCGGGCAGTTCAATGCAATGTACCGTATGTATGAGTATGTATACTAGTACTCAGTATCATTCTTCAAAATTGACCAGCTAAAACAGTTGAGCACTTGGAAATTTAGTTTTCCTGTTTCACTCGCGGGAGGATGAGGGATAGGTATGTTATTTTCTTTTGAAGTGAGTCACATCACGTGAAGGGGTTAAGTATATCTAATCATCACAATAGCCTATGAGGTAGCCTGTCAATTAGATCTTACAGAGTGTCTGAAGCAGCCATACCTTCCAAAAAGACTGCTGCCTACATCAATTGATCTGTGCAGAGTCAGTCTCTCCCTGGGGAAAGCTTCAGACTCAAGGCTCCCACCCTAGCAATGCAGTACGAGGCAAGTAGACTGTTGACCATCTCAAACACATGAAACTGGATCACACTCCTCTCAATGATGTATCAGACTAGAATTGGCATACATATGGTAAACGAAGCTGAAGCATGGCAAGTGATCACAATGGAAAAAGAAATATGCCAAGGCAAACCAACAAGCAGGGTTCCCATCAACACCAGTCCAACTAACCACAAGGACGATCGAGAAAGGTGAAAGACTGCAGTAAACCGGCGCAGGAGAATGTAGGAAAGGTTACGCAAGGATAACGTCAGGAGTGATGACCCTCCTTTAAACACCGTTCGACAAATTTCACTCACTGGGTATGCCAAGAGGATCAAGCAGAGATATATTAGGTGTATGTCATCTGTTCATCGTCGTCGTCTCCGAATTCAATAACTCATTGCTACCGCAGCGCTTCAGTTCATGCACGCGTAACGCATCAGTCCAAAGCTGCACAGCCCTTCTGTCATGACTCTTCTGAATTGACTCCACCAACTCTCTGGAACACAGAATGAAGTTTTGGCACTGGAGAGGTTGTTACTCAATCGATGTAGGGTGTACCGGCAGAGCGAGTATCAAGTAGAAAGGGGGAAAGTCAGGGTAGATCTAAATCAGGCGCGTTCGACCTTCATGCTAAGAACTATGCTGTATTGTTGTTCCGTGCAGCCTGGGACTCAGCAGCCCGAACGGGAGCAAAATACGGATGGGCCATCGCTTCTTGAGCAGTGAGGCGTTCCTAGACAAATAATATCAGCTTTGCGCCATGCAAACTTCATATATTAGAGTGCATACCGCATGATCGTATCGCAGCAGCTTGTCCAAAAAGTCAATCGCTTCGTCGCTGACGAAGCGCTGGTTCTCGGCGTTGACAAAGGTGTGCCAAGGCTTCCGAGGGAAGCGCGAGAGGAGATCATCATACTGGGGATCCAATTCAATCTCATACTTGTCCAGGTATTCGAAGAGCTCTTCGGTTCCAAGAACCTTGGCGATCTTCACCAGCTGATCAGAGTTGCTGTTTCCGTGAAAGAAGGGCTCCTTGCGGAAGATCATGGATGCAAACATCGCGCCCAGCGACCACATATCCAGAGAGTAGTCATATTCCTGGAAATCAACAAGTAGCTCGGGACCCTTGAAGTATCTGGAAGCAACACGGACGTTATACTCCGTACCCTTGTGGTAGAATTCAGCCAGACCCCAATCGATGAGGCGAAGCTAGGCATCATCAGCAGAAGAATAGATATGAGGCATTTAGGACCACTAACCTTGCGCTTTTCATGATCGATCATGACATTGTGAGGCTTCACATCCCGGTGCATGATACCCTTGCTGTGGCAGAAATCCAGAGCCTTCAAGAGTTCGTAAACGTAGAAGCGGACATCGTAGTCGGAGAATCGTGGGTAAAGAGTCCGGAAGTCGGTATTATTGACATTCTCAAAGACCAGACTCGGTGTCTTGCTCTGGCTGTCACGAACGACGTCTAACAGAGCTACCACATTGGGCCCACCTGCCAGATTCTGAAGGATCTTGATTTCACGCTTGATCTTCTTCTTCTTGACTGGCTTGAGGACTTTGATGACACACTTCTGGTAGTTGACAACATTGATACCTTCAAACACCTCAGAGTACTTGCCGCGTCCTGCAAGAAAGGAAGTGTCAGTCCACATCTCCCATGATGAACCCCGCTGGGATGATCCCATCGATGGAGGTTGAATATTGGAGCGTGATTTCGCCCTTACCGATCTTGCGGACCACCTCGTAATTCTCCAAAACACCCCAGGAGATGTTCACACTATCATAGTCCCAGTAGGACCGGGGCATGTGCTCGTTGACATCAGCATAAACGCGCGCCATGATTAATGGCGACGGGGCGATCAGCTTTCGAGGTCAACCCACAATCGGATGGCAATGATAAAATGCGGCGGGGTAGGGAGGGGACCGAGGGAAGAAGGATGATGGGGGGCAGGGCGCGGCGACAGGATAGGAATCGGAAGGACAGACAACAGCAGCCGCGAGACTAGGAGGCCAACAACCCGTCTAAATTGCGCAGCCGTGCTATCGTCCAGAGCAGCCAAAGCACAGGGTAGTATACTAGTAATATTATGGGTGGTTGATCAGAAAGGCCGAGAGCGTTTCGCTCCGCCTTCGAGGTCACGAGACTTGCTTGTCCTATGGGTGACTTGGGCAGCTGCCGGCCTCGGCAGAATATTGATGCGGTATGATTTTCAGATGCCCATGCTAGGACAGCTCGCAAAAGCACTGTATGGAACTTCAATCAGAACTCGTGTCGTTCGGGTTAGAAGTGAGATTTCGACTCAAACGCAGGGTGCCACTTTGTCGCAATCATGTTTTACGATCTGAATGTGCCCTATAGCCCGGGTGATCCCGAAACTGTTCATACTTTGAATTTCCTTGCAGAACGTGCGTCATGTCCCCTCTCCCCCCAAAAAGGCACGAGACCAGCGCAGCATACCGCGCATTTTTTCAAAGAGCCACATGAAGAGCTGACCTCACTTTCAGTCGGCTACACCACGGTTGCACTGTCAGACACGATCAATGGGAAATTGCCTCCAAGCCTGACTGCCCCATCTGCTCCAAAAGATGTTCCCCGGAACCTGGTGCTTCTTAGCCGCCTGAATCTGACCCTTTCTGACCCTGCGCAAAACCAACGACTTGCCAGCCTGACTCAGACCTATGATCTTGTCGCTCTCCGCCCAACAAATGAGAAAGCCCTACTTAACGCGTGCACCAATCTGGAGTGTGATATCATCTCCCTGGATTTCTCCGTTCGCCTACCGTTCCACATTAAATTCAAAATGGTTTCCGCGGCTATCTCACGTGGAATTCGCTTCGAGATCTGTTACGGCCCGGGTGTCACGGGTAGTGGTATTGAAGCTCGACGTAATCTAATTGGCAATGCTATGGGTCTGATACGAGCAACACGTGGCCGAGGTATCATCGTCTCAAGTGAAGCGCGGAAGGCTCTGGGCGTGCGGGCTCCGTGGGATGTGATCAATCTTGCCTGCGTCTGGGGCTTGTCGCAGGAACGCGGAAAAGAGGCAATCTGCGAAGAGGCTAGGAAAGTGACCGCCTTGGCCAAATTGAAACGAACAAGCTGGCGTGGGATCGTCGACATTGTTGATGGGGGAAGTAACTCAGCTGCCAAAGCCACAGGACCGTCATTTAAACAGAAGGAATCTGCGGAGGTTAGAGCCGATGGATTGAAAAGAAAAGCATCGCTTGGCTCTGAGGTAGCAACCGAGGAGACTGAAAAACCACTATCAAAACGGGAGATGAAGCGCAGGGCTAAGAAAGCTCGGCTAGAGGCGTTCGGCGGCGATAGCAGTGCTAACGATACACCGGCTACTTGAGCGGAGAATTTTCCAACCTTTCTCTTCTTGTTCCTAAATGCCTGTCGCGAAGCGATTGACAGACATCTGTCGAGAGCCCTGCCGTGCCGGAACCTAGAGCCGAGCCGTACGGCCATCGCTCCGGAATAGCAGCGCGTCACGGGTAATATCTTGTCACCGGGATTTTCCAAGACCAAACCGCACACTAGCCAAGTGCAGCGATCTCCTTCGAGTCTCTAAGGAGTTCTATTGATGGCCGCAAAACCTGCGCTGAGATAAGCAGTGTGCGGGTGACCGAAGCCTACCGCCTCCATTACCCTCTACCAACTATAAATACCTTTGGTGACGGTGCAGTCAGTCGATCCGTTCACGGGGACAGTGATCAACCCCATTAGACTTGACTGCAATCATCGACATTTCTGTAGACAATGAGACCAATGATGGCCATTGGATGGCATTGTGGACTTTGGTACCGAGTGTAAGAATCGCACTCATCGGACTTCCATCATATGAATCTAGACTTACGCAAAGACCTTAAGATGAACACATAAGATTAATCCAATTCCAATGGACTGCGTGCCCAGCTCACCATTATCTGAGAGAGTGCCATCTATGCGCAAAATCCTCCAAGCTGTGGGCCCAGCTCAACCCTTGACATATACCTCCTTGCGATATGCCACCCTAAATGCGGTCTTTTCTGCATTTTGGCGCTTCCACTGCCTTCCCTTGTACTCAGTGTCACCAGCTTCAACACCATGCCTCTGGCAGCCCTCAAACGCGCCTGTATGAGTGCCACATGGGCGCCCATCCCGCGAGACAGCGGCACTGTACTATCCAAGTACAAATGCCCGATGTTCTCGCCCGCTGTATGCGTACCCAGGACGGCCAATGCCGCGGTGCCGACTACTTTCCCGGCGTCCGTCGTCGCGATGTAGAGTCTTGTATCAGCTCTCAGGGCCGCGATCCTCGCCAAGGCGCCCAGCAGCTCCTCCCAGCGTCCCCCATCCGCGAATCCCGCAATGGAAACGGCGACGAAGTGCGCGCGATCGACATCCGAGGCCACCTCCCTGACCGTGATATTCTTCCCCTTCGGGTGACCCTTCCGCGCGACGACCGATTCATCTGAATCCTCCAGGTCCATGCAATAGACACTCAGCCTCCCCTTGGAGAAATACCTGGCACGAGTGAGAACCTGCCCTGCGGAAGGGTCTGCGTACTCACACAGATGGATTTCCGGAGACAGACCGATTGCGGCGTAGGTTGACTCGAACTCGACATTGCAGAGATCCTGTGATGTGAAGGAGCCTTGGAGCCCTAGCCCAACGATGCGGCTTAGCTTGCCCTCAAATCGGGGGACAGTACGGATGGCGACGCCGCCGGCTACACTCTGGTGCTGAATCAGGACATCGCAGGACGGGTACAGTGTTTGTACCGCTTCAGCTTGGCGCACGACGTGTGTCTCCTCTGCCTGCTCGATTCGTACAACAAGGCTGGGCGGTGGGGTAGCGAGTGTCATATTGGAGCTATGGTATATGTTCCTTCCAAGCCATGCATAGATCGTGTTATGCTGCTGCAGAGTCCAAGTAAGCCGTCTAATCTATAATTCCTAACTCAGACAAAGAACATGCACTACAGGAATAAATTAAATATCGAAGTCATGGATTCACAAAACCTCAGACCCCTTATGACTCACACTCCCCTTCAATCCAGTTCGTTACTAGATACACAAAGATCACTCCATAAATGTGCTCACGACTTCAAGCGCTCCCTGCCCAATCATGTCCATCGTAGTCAGCACAAATTAGCAACAACATAACGTGTCTACTGCTTAGTAGTATACACAGCACATATTCCCTTCCAACGTGAAAGCATCAAACTCTAGCTAACCCCACCCCCAAAGCCTCCCACATCGATCAATCACGATCACCCCGCGACATCCCTCCAATAACCTGCATCGCAACTTCCTCCTTGCCCTCCGGCACGAAGACATGATCATGATAAAACCCACTAACCACATTGGCACTGACCCCGGCATCGCGGAGTCGTGCGCTAATGGCAGCGATCAGACCCACTGCCTCAAGACTCGAGTGCACGCTGAGGGAGATCATCCGACACGGAAACACGTAGTCGGTGAAGCCGTGCGCGATGGCCTTTTCGCGCACGAGAACGAGTGTGGTACCTTCCGCCTCCTGGAAGAGAAGTTGTGGCTGTAGTGCTTGCACATCTTGGCTCGCCGCAGAGACTGGTGTGTTGAGAACTGTGACGAAGACGAATGTGTCAGGATGGAGGATGGGCTCGAGTCTGGAAAGAAGTATTTCGAGATCTGCTTCACCGGGAGCCATTGTGGTGGTGGTGGTGGTGGTGGTGGTGGTTGTCGTCGTCGTCGTCGTCGTCGTCGCGTTCACAGAGACTAATAAGTGTGCTCCCGTAGTGGCTCTGGGTTGAAAATGGACAGCTGGAGCTACCGGCACTTGCTGGTTGATACCTGATACTTGATGTTGTTTACATATTCGGGTTGTTGACTCAATGTACCAATGGGTAAGTTAGATTGGTCGCTAGTAATGGGTGAGTAAGCGAGAGAAACCTCAAGTTTCAACTAATCATACATTTTAAAACTTTATTTGTGTATTCCATAGATTAAGAAACACCTCAGAAGCCTAATTATCTACAGGTAGAAGAGCTGCTAGACTTAAATGACATCAGTATTATGATTATCAAGAGCGCTGCGAGTATACACTATTTACCCACTGGTATCTATAGAGAAAATCATCGTGTCTCATGTCCGTAAAAGCAGCATAAAAGGGTATGAATGCGAGACCATGGAAATTAAAACCCGCCCAGCTTCATCAGCAGAAAATGTCCTTGCAGAAAATTGATGCGCGTCAAGTCATAACAGGTCGTTAGACAGGCAAACATACCTGCTATCAAGATGCTTCCTCAAATTCAACCAAGACTCTCAGGTCGCCGTCCATCCAATCCACATTTCCCGCGGACAAGAGTGCAATAGTCCAGTCGCCGTCATTTTGTACTGTTGTTAATCCATCTGGTAGCCATACCTTGAACTTCCAGTTGATCCCTGCGACCCAGCCGCTAGCGGAGTCCAAGCCTGACTCAGATGATAATCCCGGCAGCTGACCCGAAAACCGGCGGGAGATCACTTGCTTAAGCGTCTCGAGGTCAGGGCACTGGCTGCCAGGCAGATCAAGTCGGGAATGTGTGCGTTTGCCGTCCTGAATAAGGTTGATACGGAGAGAGACAGACATGGGCGACGAAGGTGGCCTGACATTGCTGGCGGCAGAGGCAGCTCCAGGGATCGGTGGTAAATTGGAAGGCGGGAAGTGCTGAGATTGTGACACAGACGTCTGATCGTGGGATGTAGCATGCGGTTCGTGCTTCACAGCAAGATTGTCGCGGATGATGCGCGAGACGTCGCGAGTAATGCTACTTGCACTGTGGACGCCTGTTAGCATGGTGCGATAATGAAAGAAGTGAGACGCGTCGGGCGACGTACAATTCGTTCCTCGCGGGCTGTGGAATATTACCACCAATCCGCCACCGTAAGTCGGAAGTAACATTAGCCTCTAATATACGTTGTATATTGTCATCTTCACACTGTGGAGGACATTCATAGCCACCATTGTGAATGACTTGGTAATGGCTATCGACGGCAGCCACCAAGCCCCGCCAGTCCGGTTGCTGTAGGCCCGATAAATACCAGAGATTGTCGAGTTCGCAGTTCTGGTTATAATTGTCATAGGACTTAGCGAATGCATTCCAGTCGGTTGTGTATCCGTCAAGCAGAAGCTCTGTTAGGCCCAGATCCACGGCCTGCGAGGTGGAACCCATGGGGGGCTGCGATGCTGACATCGGGGTCTGCATTGCAGTATAATCATCGTGAATCTGATGATGTTGCTGTTGCTGATGGTGATGCTGAGAATGAAGTTGTAGATCCTCAGTTGGCGTGTGCGCATTGAAGTTTTGCAGGCTGTCCTCGGTCTTCCGTCGCCGTCGCTCCTCCGCTCCGCCGCCTTTCCTCGTTTCGACAGCATACTGACGCTGTCGCTCGTTCGTTACCATTCGCCGCAACAAGGGTATCACCAGTGAAATAATTTTCTGTTGATCCCGGGGCCAGATGTATGCCCTGGGCCCCATGCCTTCATTGACCACATCTTCTCCAAAGAACCGCTCGCCATGACCCTCACCCTCGAGAAAGTGACGTACGCAATTCCATAGCCGCAGCTTGACCATCTCTGTATCCCCCTTGCCGCGTTGACCTACACAGTCACGGCGTTCAGGATGACGATCATCAAGCATGTAAGCTTTAGCTGCTGCCTGAAGGTGCAAAAAGTTTTCTGGAGAAAGCTCGAGTGAGGAGAACAATTTGGACATGGGTGGACGAGTGTATTTCTTGTTGCTGGAGGGCTGGCGAAAGAGAGCGGCTGCCGAGTGCAAGCCCACCGCCCGAGCTTCAGATAGTGATTGTGGCGGGGCGCCTCGAAGATCTAGCCCATCACCACCGTAATGATGCGGATGTTGCTGCTGTTGCTGCTGTTGTTGTTGTGGGTGGTGACTATGGTGGTGTGATTGCTGATCCCCTGCTAGGCCGACATGACCCCCTCCTGTCAAGGCGGGATCAAGAGCATCTTCGTTTCTCTTCCTCTTCTTCGTGCCAACTCGGGTCAACCCAGAGGTTTGAGCGTGTTCATTCACCGGAGCTGATCCGGGTCCTCGCAGAGCCCGTCCGCCATTGATCCCAGCGGCAAAACTTGCGTCTGCAAAGCTGTCATCATCCATATGTATGTCCGGTCCATAGCCCTCTAGGTGATGTGTATTCCCAGCCGCCCCAGCTGCAGCGGCGACTGCAGCGGCCGCAGCCCATTCCGAGACGTCTTGTCCTGCAGCCGCTGTGGCAGCCTCCACCAATCCAGCTAATTGATTTTCGCTAGGCGCATACCCACTCGTTGCAAGGTGCGTGTTTGGGTCAACATTCGACGTTGTGGTTGAGGTTGCTGGAAATTCGGCCGCCGACGTTGACGGCTGATGGTGGTTTGGGGTGGATGCCGTAGTCATGATGGCATATAAAGAGCGTAATTATATTTGCCGCTATGGGCTCACAAAGCTTTTCCGGCAAAATTGTATCGGTTTTGTCCCTTGGCGAAAACTTATGACACGAACTGTAGCAAAGATCCGTAGGCAAGAGCGAAAGGCGTGCGCCAGTGACTTTGTGGATTGGAGAAGATGAAGACGATGATACATACACAACCTAGTGTTTTCTTGTCGCAATTTGCCTCGAAGAAAATGGACCGTGATATAGTTGAATGCTAAGATTATGGGAGCAAAACCATAAGGATCCAGTATCAATACAACCGGAGCGTGGACACGCGCAGCGTCCTGGGTATTATGTTAGGAGGATCTGAATTTAAGGAGACCCTTGCGGGCAAGCTTTGCCCTGAGGGTAGTGATGGCAGCCCAATAGCGCGCTGATACCCACGGGCCCGTCAAATAAATGGGAAGCTCAGCTTCCACTGGACTTCAAGCGTGCGCGACTCGCGATGATCGATGAAGCTATCCGGAAGGATGACGCTGTTTGGCTGGTTTGAAGGAAGGACAGACAGTGCAAACTCTGCAGGGAACGACGGACGGAGGCCGTCGACTGCCGCTCCGAGTTAGCATGGATCAGAGATCACCTGACTCTCTCTCATATACTGTCACTATGCTACGTACTACCTCATTACTCGTAAGTACTACTAGTCGCCATATATATGACACTTATCCGTCCATTTATCATCGCATGCTCGCTCAACATCAGGGGAAGTTCATTCTGTTTGCGGAAGATATTTCTTTTGCGGATCTGGCAATCTGGAGCCAGCCCAAGTGCACAGATCAATTGACGCAAATTATACAAGTATTGGAACAAACACGCTAACTACCTAACATGATTCGCCACTATCCCAGAACCACATCAGTCAAAAAACATATCAAAATAAATGGAGAGCAGATTATCGTATCCATATCAGCACGTAATGAACCGCGCACCAAGGGTGATGCGGGTGATGACCGAGCATCAACATGCCGAGTATGTGCCAAATTAGAAACCATCTCCCTCATTCCACATTCTCCCGACCTCCGCAGCTCGGGCTCTAGGATCCTGGCCTCGGTCAGTGGCATTGACGAATAGCTCGAGGATCAGTGCTTCTTCGAGCTCAAGCTGTTCTTCCAGAGTGATATCCTTTCCAGGCTCGGGAAAGTCTAATTGGCTTTCTTCGCCCAGATGTCCATGCATCCGAGTGAGTTCAATCAAGTCTGCCCTTACAGACCATCCCTGAAGTGCCTCCTCTAATTCGGATTTAGCTGTATTATGGTCGCGGAAATCATTATACTCGTCTTCACCGCCGAAGCAGATCCCAAATCCATCGCAGTAGCAGATATGTTCCTTGACACAAACAACATTCTCGCCGGTGAAAACGACCTGCCACAGATACTCCCAAATGCGACCGGAGATGTAGTCACTAAGCTCAGTCCGGAGCATCCAGTCGCGGAAATACACGAATCGAGCTCGGGGGATGGCTAAGATGCGCTCGCGGGAGACGGCGAATTGAGCACAGCAGGGCTGGGATAGGACTTCGGGGATCGGGTCATCGGGGAAGATCTCGCCCCAGGCCTGAGCAAGCATGACCTCCTCCTGTTTGGTTTGATCCTCAACTAAGGTGCCAGGGTGCAACCAATCCGGACAACCGGGGCTCCAAGTGCAGCGCAAATTTACATAACCCTGCCTGATAACCCAGGCCGGGTTCAGACGTCGCAGCAACTCGGATGCATCGCCGTTGAAGAGGTCATCGTTGTGCCATGCGAATTGATGCGAATGCATGAACGCAATGATGTCTGGGAGTTTTTCGTAGTGCTCAATGATATAGCTTAGGTAGACCATCACCTCATGTCCTTTGTTTTTGGGCGGATGCAAAGGTGCCGACGGATCATTTACGACGTAAACGGCTGACTGCCAGTCTGGCAATTCAAACTCGATCCAGGTGGTGTCCTCCCCGTCTGCCTGAGGCACAACTAGTATCTTGCTGTACGTCGCGCCAGGCGCTTTAGGAACACCAGGAGCAAAGCGTGGTTTGGCGGCGTATGGTGTCCGCGTGGGAGATTCTTCAGACACCCGGGTGAGATTATAGCGCAAGGATGGTGTGGGCGAGGGTGTCGCGACCGGCCTGTTCAGGCCAACGGGTTGCGGGATTGGCTCCCATTGTGCGGAGAGAGTGTAGAAGGCGAACAGGGCCGAGAGGATAAAGGCGAAGCCGAGAAGGGGCGCAAGGCGGCGTGAGGAGATCATCGATCACGATCATAGAATGGGAACGAGTAGTGAAGGGGAGAAAATACTAGGATAATGCGATACTGGGAGGCTTGTCAGTAGTATTACCGGAGAAGGCAGAAGGCGTGGCAGACGGATATGTTTTAAGCTTTTGGTGCCTGAGTTGGTTCCAGACCATGCAGACAGGCACCGGGGCCCGCACTCTTACTCACAAGAAAGGCCGTAAGGCTACACGATAAAGATAATAGCCATGGATCAGAGCCTTGAATAAGAGTATGTTGTGATCAAGACCTCAGGATTGGTGAGAAACAGTCCCCGCGATCGCAGGTAGCGGCGAGAAGCTGGCAGGGCGGTATGGACTGTACGGGGAAAAATGTCTCGCAACAGACTTCTTCGTACTTCAACGAAAATGGCCCATGAGCCAGGGAGGGTGAAACAAGATTATTATGGTAGTCTAAGAATAAAGTAATGTAAGACGACACCAGACAACCAGGCGACCGCGGAGTGGTCACTGCATACATGAACGAGGATTGGTGGGTTGGACGCAGAATGGAACATGAAACCGGGGCTGGAAGAACGAGCCCCGAGGCATACGTAAATGATGGCGCAGAAGAGCGGGCGGGCGGAGGCGGAGCTGGCGTCAGCAATTGGGGCTGATGACGAGACTGTACCGCACCGCTAGACGATTGAACCCTCTTCTTTCCTCCCCAAATCGGCACAAGTCAGTCGCGTTGCATTGACTCCATATATGTATGAGTTCCTCACTCCCTTGGTAAAACTCGATTCCTTGAACCATGGTAGTACTTCAATTATAAATTACTACAGTACATATGAAGTCTAATATTCTGTACATAGGTGGGTAACTTATGTACAGTATTGTAACTTACACAATCCCTTCGACGGAAGTCTAGATGCGAGGCACCGATTTCTCCTCCGACCAATTGCCGTCCGAATCACAGGGTGCAGCTGCACCTTGCATTCTCCACCTTTATTCCAACATTGTCGATCGTCGTCTACGAAGTATAAAGAGGCAGAATGCAGGAAGTCGAAGACACGCACACAATGAATGGCACCGATTACTAGTACAGCAATGTTAATTGCACAAATGTTTTATCCCAGATCTGTGCATACAACAAGAAGAATCATGTGCCAGGGTACAAGCAGTGAAACATAAGAGGACTTTGACAGGAGGCACATGGCAAAAATTTGGAACTGAGGGTAGCTGGGTATGAATATGAGTCGCTTCGAAAACGCCAGAAAATAAGGACATCCTATGGTGAAGGATTTGCAGGGGGGGGGGATGTTGACAACACCATTGTGATGATACATAAGCCAAGAACAGAGTAGATTTGGTATGATGGAAATGTACTGGGTGACATATGGGAGAGGTTATGAAATGGAAGAGGTTCTGAAGTGGGAGAGGGGAGTGAGTATCTATCTATCACACTTCATCGTCATCGAATACATCCTCTACTGTCGCGACCCGCGCTTTTCCCCTTGACGGCGATCCCGACGACGATCCCAGCGACGATCCCGACCCCTGCTCACGTTCGGAACGCTCCGTATCGTCAGCTTGTGTCTCGGAGGCCAGTTTGGTCCATTGCTGGGACAGTGACTCGATACCAGTCTGAGTTGCTGCAGGAGTCGAGGCAGATTGCCAGTTTGGCAGATCCTGAGGTACGGAGGGGCCTGGAACAGCCGCGGTCTCTTGGACCGAATTTGAATTGTTGGATTCAATTTCTGTCATGGGAGGTGCGGGGGGTATGATTGTCTTGTAGGCAGTAGTAGGAACGGAGGGGTTACCCACTGGTGTAGATTCTTGACCAGGTGAGTATAGGGGTGTTAGGGACCAGCCTTCGGGAAGACTTAATCCCTCTGGGAGTCGGGAGTCCCCAGCCCTCATGGCAGGTGTTTCAGGATCCGACACGAATCGATGACGCTCGGCTGTGGATGTCACCGGATATGACAATGCAGAACTTGAGAGACCCGGTTGAGATTCAATAGATTCAGCCGAGAGGCCGCGGAGCCGCTGAAGTTCCGTTTGCAGCATTCGCACAAGTTGAAGTTGCTGAGCTGTGACACGTAGGCTGCTGATCTCTTGCAGGATCTGCTGTTCCACTTGCTGCAATTGATTTTGTACGTGAGCCACACTCGAAGCCGGGTTTTGAACTGTTGGAGTCGCTGGCGGTTGCCCGAACCCGAGTCCGAACCCTATCTGTCGAGCATTAGGCGCAATAGCATCATTTGGCCGCTGCATTGGTACATTTCCCTGGTGAATTTGCTGCTGAAGATTGCGAAAAAGATCGCCTCTTCCTGCACCAAAGCCGATTCGGAAAGGTCCGAATTGATAAATTCGGGCTCGCGGTAATCCCTCCACTGGTGCATTACGATCGAGTGGTTGATTACCAAAAGGCTGATTCTGCTGCCCGCCAGCGTCGCCCCCGGGGTTGCGGTTGCCAGCGTCGCCGTGCCCCCGTGGTTGGGGTGGAGCAACGACTGGGCGTCGACAAGTCGGGCAATTCTGCTGCCTTTCGAGCCAGCTGCGAAGACAAGCAAAATGTAAGATGTGGCCACAAGGGAGCTTCTTCGGACGAAGGCGGTCAGATACCCGACCTTGCTGTTGTGTACCTTCACCTCTTTCCCCAGCCCGGTGCCACTGGGTCATCTCCTCGCGGCAGATGATGCATACTTCCTCCCGAGCGACCTCCTCAGCGGTAGCATCAGGATAGCGCTCGTTCATGTCACGTGTCGCATTACGATACCGGACAAAGTCCATGATGCGGCGTCCGAACGAACGGATCGTAACAACGACGTCGCGTAATATATGAATGGGCAGACCGTAGAAGGTGAACAAAATGGCGAAGAATGTCAAGTAAACCGTAAGTTTGAGGAAGTCTGTCAGAAGGTCAAGGTAAAAAATCCACCGGCCTTTCTCTTCCCACCCTGGCACGTCCAACTCCATCTCGTTGACGTCGTTTTCATCCGGTAGACCAGGCAAGGTGCTTGTCTCTGCGGACTCGGCCTGTTGTCGCAGGGCCTCGTCCCGCGCAGCCCGAATCTCTTGACGGCGTTCTTCCAATCTGGCCTTCAACTGCCGGTGGCAAATGTAGAGTTCAACCAATGATATGGAATATCGGGCGGCGGTTGAGCTTGACAGAATGGTCAAGACAGCGAACTCGAAGCCGAACATGACCATCATGTCGGGTCGTGCTTGTTCAAGAACCGTCTGAACGCAGTATCTCAGCATGAACACATTGAACAGGACTGATATAAGTAAGGACAGAGCGAGCCGGAAGTGAAACAGGCGTGGATTCGCAGGCGGCTGCTGTTCGAGGTATTCTACGCGGCCCTCCCCGATCCAGCCCCAGACCTTGCCAACGAGAAGAGAAACGAACATGACCAGAAACCACCCTCCCAGCTCTCCACGAAAGATCGTCATCGCCAGACACGTTTCAGTGACAGCGAACCATGCTTTCTCATATAGCTGTTCGGTCTCGATGGGTCGGAGCGGTCCATAAAGGAGACGTTGGAGCCAAAAGAGGAAGAATCCAACGGCTAGAAGGCATACGTTCATCAAAATCTGGGAAAGATTGATTAGCCAGTCTGCACAGAATCGCAATGACAGATTTCCCTGTGCGCTTAGGGACGCAACGTGACCAACCATGCAGCCTGGGAGTGGAGGGCAGAAGTTATACCATAAGATTTGCGCTACTTTGCGAAAGATATACACATGCGGCATAAAAGTTGGCCCTTTGATGTAGCGCTTTCAGAAACACACCGGTGGCCAGGGCAGTCGAAGCCTATTTGTGGTTGCGATTCAAGCGGATCAGCCTGAGCACAAACGGCCAGCATTATAGGAACAGAGCTAACTTACCCCGGCGTAGACGGCGAACCTCATGGCCAGGAATTGACGGGTATGGACGACAAGCTCCCGGTCATTGGCAAGGACACAAGGCAAAGGATTGACGGTGCGAAATTTAGAAGGACATTGATTGAACTATGCGAGGATGGAGGAGGGGAAGGCCTTGGGAGGGGACAGGATGGGGGAGGCAGTACTTAGTTCTGGACAGCTGGAGCAATCGGCAGTCATTCCGCCCGCGCTCGGTGATGATGCCAGTTGACAATCTGCCGTCACCGCCTTGCGTCAACTTCAAGATTAACTAGTGAATTGACTTGTTAATAACTAAGTAAGTTAAGTTAACTACTTAACTTACCTCAGCGGCGGCTGACTAACGATTTAGTTGGCGACCACAGTCTTATTTCGTCATTAATTATCATCATGACTTGGATAGTACACATGTAGTAAAGTCAGTCCTGTATTATCGCATGCATACCTATGGCAGCTTGCGTCTTTGGCGTCAATCGTGGACTTGATTTCTATTTACTGTTTCAATTGGAAGGTACATGTGGCACTTGAGTATTAAGTCTGAAGAGACTCCTGCTCCACCTCACCTGTCCTTTATCTCTGGAACACCGACCAGCGCTCCACCGGGCCGACGCCTGGTCACGTGACTGCTTGTGAGACATTCCGGAGTAGCACCACCAGACCGGTCTATCCAGTCAGAGTCTATGTCCAACGTTTCACAGACCTTTACAGACAACAGTGGCAGAATTTGACCGCAGAGAACCTGGCTTTGAAACAGAGGACTGATAAATACAGAGAACGACTTTGTGTATGTGTCTTTGTGCGTCGTTAAGACGAAAACGAGGTTGCCCTTGATGCTCGTTTGAGTAGTACTACAAACAATCCACCACTCTGATCTCTCAAGACATGCTTTGCAACCATGGCTAGGATGGCATCTCAACGAACGTCAATTTTTACCGCCAGCCGGTTGCAAATATGCACATACTTGCTTGGAGTTTGCCCCTTTTCAATTGCATTTCTAGTTTTTCTCAATTCGTCCGTTTCCTTCGTGGTCACGGAACTTCTCGGCCTTGATGCGGGAGAAGGCGATGCTGTTGGGACTCTGGGATTCGCAGATGAATTACTTGCCTTGATTGCTTGTCCCCTCTGGGGAGTGCTCTCAGATCGAGTTGGAGTCCGTAATGTGAGTGTTCTTCCATGGTGCTGCTATAACTTCATCGTATCTTCCTAAGAGCGCACTACTACAATTACTCACATGTAATTGGTTTAGGTTTGCGTGACTGGTTATGGAATCATCGCCATCGCGTTGGTCGTATTTGTTCAGGCGAAGAATGTTTATCCTCAGCTTCTCTTAGGTCGTTTACTCTTCAGTCTTGGAGGCGCAGCGGTATCGACCATGGTCACGGCCGTGCTTCCAGCTGTGGTCAGATCGCCATCACAGTCACAGCCCACCGCATCGAGTCGTGTGGCTGAGAAAACGCCATCCTCCAAGCTAGCTGGATATGTTGGAATGTGTGCTGGAAGCGGTGCACTAGTCGCCCTCGTTGTCTTCCTACCTCTGCCATCTCGACTTCAGCAGTGGGGAGTCTCACCACCACAATCCATTCAATATAGCTACTATGTTGTTGCAATCGTGTCTGTGTTGGTTGCTGTTCTCTGTTCTGTAGGGTTGAGGCATCTTCCCGGGGAAGAAGGCAAAGCCTGGAGCTCTTTATGGGCTCGGGGCCGACGGGAAAGGCCGGAGGACATTTGTGCGAGTGACGACCGAAATACTGATTCTAGCAAGCGACACTTGCCGTACTTCCAGCAGCTTGGCGCTGCGCTGATGCTAGGATTCCATAATAGCGACATTTTCCTTGGCTATGTGGGCGGTTTCGTGGCTCGGGCATCATCTGTCGGAATCTCGTTATTCATTCCCCTAGCGGTCAATCACTATTATCGACAGTCTGGTTTATGCCAGGGCAACAACGGGGATGGAATGGGCTCCGATGCTGTCAAGCAATCATGCCGTAAAGCTTATGTGCTGGCTTCAATTCTGACCGGTGTTTCTCAGCTCATCGCGTTGGTGGCGGCGCCGATTTTTGGGTATATGTCAGAGCGGTCGCGACAATATCCGATGCCCCTGCTAGGGGCATGTGTGTCAGGGGTGGTCGGCTATATCACGTTTGCACTGCTTCCCAGTCCGGACTTCAGAGCGCCCCACGGTGGTCCCGGCGTCTTCGTTGTGATGGCGCTAGTTGGGCTCAGTCAGATTGGGGCCATCGTCTGCAGCTTGTCTGTCCTCAGCACCGGAATACTCCGTATGAGTGCTCAATGCCGGGTAGGAGATGGATATGGTTCTTCTCCATCCACTCTCTATGGCGAGGAGACCAACGACGACCTGGTATCGGCCGATGAGACAGAAGGGGACCAAGAGGAGCAGGCTCTGTTGACTTCAGCTACGGAACAAAACCAGCAGCCCCTGGCGCACCTGAAAGGTTCCATCGCTGGAGTTTATTCCCTGTATGGCGGCGCAGGCATTTTGGTCCTGACCAAAGTCGGAGGATTACTATTCGATGTCCTCTCGTCGGGGGCTCCGTTCTACATCCTGGCAAGCTTCAATGGATTCTTGCTCTTGGCGGGAATAGCCTGTGGGGTTGTTAAGCACTCGAAGACCTGCTAGGCTAGCAACTGAGATGGTTGGTTGGAAACTCGGGAGTCGGAGTTGACGGCTCGAGTTAGATCTGGCGGTGATGGCGGCGGCAGATTGAGCTAGGGCAGTGAAAGTATGGGGCTGCGACGATTTCATCTTCTCTCATTTTCTCTATTTTGGTTGAGCGGGAGTGCTGGTCCTGCTGGAGTCAAGGACGGACCCCTCAGCGACTCGACCCACAAGCCCTTTTTTCTCTAGGGAACTTTCTTTGTCCGCATTGGGTACTTGGAAAAGAATTGATTGATTCTTACTTTCTAGTGCTTACACATGAGCCGCGAACATGGAGGCTGAGTGCCTCAGCCCACTTGACAAGCAGGGGTCCGATTCATGCGCGAGTCTCACGAAATGATGGTTTCAGCCCCCAAATGCGCGCCCGGTGTTAGTGGACACTTAGTGGCTGCTTAGTTCCTGGCGGTTCACTTCTTGCCGGCTTCTCTAACGGTGGACAAGAAACTGACTTCAGTCGTCTATTCTTCCAGTACCATCAATCATGGAAGCTCATTGTTCATTAGTTTGTGCTCTAACTTCCCTAACCGATCATTTGTTTGCTCGTCTGGACGTCCCCATGCGGCTAAATCGAGGCAACATTTCGCGCATCGGAAAATCGGATCACGTCGAACCAACTCTAATCGCCTTATGGCTTTCATGGCTCCACGCCAAAATTGGCGATCGGCCAGGGTCCGACCAGTGAGCTGAACCTCCCACGAGGATTGCCGCCCCCAAATGAGAGGGTCTCGTTCTGTTGCAAACATCGCATGCCATCCCCAACCAGTCGACAACAGCCCTCGACGAGGCTCAGCCCTTGTCGCACCAGCGAGAGGGAACCAGTTGGGACAAATCTATAAGAAACGGCCCTCGCGCGCCTTTTCGCCCCCAACAATTCCCTTTCCATACTCAGCATCCCAATTGCACATAGCATCGTTGTCCTTTCTCCTGAAGCTTTCACCCAAAGAGCATCTTGTTTACCGTTGCTTGCCTATAAAATATCTTGATTCCCCCCTTTCTTCTGCTCTATAACACTCTTTTGGAATTCATATCCTCAATCCACAGTCACCATGCGTTTCCAGATTGCTTCCTCGCTGGCCCTGTTGGCCTCCGTTACGGCCGTTGTTGCGGATGACATCATCAACGTCTATTTGCCCGACACTGATGATGTTGGTCTCGCCGGAAAAGTGATTGGAACTGTATGCCATGAAATCCCTTCAGATGCATTCGCTGTGCCTCGGTTACCCAGAACGTATCTGACTGTAAATAGACTGGTGGTAGTCTCACCACTCTTGTTCTGGGCTGTGCTTCCACGACTTCCTCTGCTAGCGCTGCTACTGCCACCTCCGATGATGATGATGACGACGACAGTAGCTGCGACATTGAGGACGACACCTACACCCTCACGGTAGGCAGCTCCACCTACGGCATGGGCTTGTCTTACCGCGGAACGTATGTGACCCTTCTTGCTCTATACACCAAGCTTTCTTGTTGCTAACACTGTATTCCAGTACATACTCCCAAGGCTGTACTCGCACTGGTACCACCTACTTGAGCTGCACCACCAGCGCCAGCGACTCCGAAGGCCCCAGCTCCTCCTCCGCCATCTACACCACTCCCCTGACCGCCATTCCTATCACCATCACCGGTTCTGCCTCTGCCTCCGCTACTGGCTCCTCATCCGGTGCCGCCGCCACTGCCACCGCCTCCGGCACTGGCTCTGCTTCAGGCAAGTCCACTGACTCTTCGTCCGCCAAGTCGACTTCCGGCTCCTCCGATGCCTCCGGCTCCAGCACCGCTGCTGCTAGTGCTAGCGCCAGCAGCACCGATAACGGTGCCCTGCCCTTGGCCACTGGCAGCTGGGTTGCCGGAGGTGCCGCCATGATGCTGGCCTTGGCCATGGCTTAAGCCACGCTCCACTCCACACTCTTGGTCGACGCCCCTTTCCGGTTCAATTTATAAACTATGACCTATGGCCGGTCAGTGTATCTATAGAGACTTGCATTCATTCGGGAAGGATTTGAAGCTTGTGCAAAGAGCCGAGCTTGCTGAGTTTGGAAGGAGGGAGGGGAAGGAGAGGATGACGCTACCTATTGTTCATGTACAATGTCACTCTGTGCGCTTACTCTTTAAAATAATGTCATTACCACTATTTGCCATTAATTTCCACTACACCGGGGGAAAGGGGTTGAGAGCCACACTGCAAAGGACACTATGTCGCAACTTCCGAGAAAAGATTAAACCCGTGCAGAGAGAGAATAGTACGAGTGATGTAGCACCACTGACTACTTGGCTTAGGTGATGACCTATCTGCAACATACGCGCCCACCCCTCCAAAATCACGGCTTTCATTGGAACAACCCCGCGCCCCGAGACAAGGTGGCGGACCCAAACCCGTCGGACCTCTTACCACGCATTTCCCTGGGCTTGTCGTCGGCCCGGACCTCCAACCCAGCCCGAATGATGTTGGTGCGTAACAAGCGGATGTGTGCCTCTTGCAGATAATCCTCCAGATCATTGAGAACGGTTTCCTGCAACTCGGTTCGCAGGTCGACCTGGTTGGCGACCAGCACCTTCTTCTCCAGATCGATGCGGGCGTCCAGCGTGCCATCCTGGATTAGCGTGACCAGCTCCTGCACGAAAGGGTGGCTGAGGTCCATGTCCGCGTCGCTCTGCTGCTGGCCACCGCTGCTGCTGCTGCCGCCGCCGCCGGCGGTTCCGGTCAGGGTGCCGGGGGCGAACATCTTCGACATGGAATCTAGGGTGACGCGGTTGAACGGGATGAGGTATTGCTGGATGGACTTGGTGCGGATGCGAGTAAAGAGGGTGTGAACGTGGCGTTGTAGGTGGATGTCGAGCAGGTAATCCGCCCTGTAGGCCTCGAGGATCTCCAGGCAGGAGCGGAATTTGGAGTTACAGAAGAAGGCGATCGCGCGGCGGATCTGGGGCTCCAGCTCTAGGAAGTTGCGGAAGGAGTTGTTGTCGAGGACGCGGTGCTGGAGCTCGTGGCGGTCCATCGACGCCAACGCGCAGAGCCCACCGTACACGGCCACGTCGTTGGAGGTGAGCACCTCCGTGTACGAATCGCCGAGGCCCGGGTCCGTGTTGAGGAAACTGTTGGCTGCATCCAGGTAAGACCCTGAGTGCAGCTGTGAGAGGCCCAGCGCGGCGGACAGCTTCGGCTGAACCTTGGACTGTTCGTCCTGTTTCGATTGCAGATTGCGTAATCGGTGAACGTTGGACTGCACGCTCAACCAGTCGCCTCGTTCGATCGCCACATTGATAATCTTGAAAAGCATCGAAATGATATGCGTCGGGGTCGTGCAGTAGTCTCTCATGCGAGAATATGCCTTGGATGCCGACGTAAGATCGCCGATGAGGTAATAGTGCTGGCCCAAATCTTCATTGCCCATCTATAGTACACAGGTTAATCATGTATGGCCACACTCCTCTTAGAATCCCCAGCGGCGAGGGGACAGCCATCCTTACCCGTATACTTTCTTTAATCAAGTTGTTCTTGTAGCCCTTGAGTTCATGCTCTAACCTGTCTGTTTCAGCCTTGACGACCTTTTGCATGTGGTCCACCCAGTGCGTGTCAAGTGTAGCCTCGGGATCATTTGGCGCCACCTCTGCAAGAGCCCGCACCGCTCGTTCGTATCTGGTGACATCTTTGCCACTTTGGGCTTCGGCAATTGCGGCTTTCAGTGCCTCGACGGCTAGATATGTTGAACATGTGCCGATGACATATAGTCGATTGTACCTGGTCCGGCCTGGCGCCGAAATGCCGGTCAGCTTTGATGAGGATGAGCCGAGAGCAAAGTAGTAGTCGCCTACCAGTATAGTTCGCGATGTATGATTCCAGTTCGAACTTCGGAGGATCTTGGGCGTGAAGGCTCGTGGTTAGTGTTCAAACGAGCACATACGCACTGGGAACGGGTGGTTCTTACCTTCGACCCTGATATTCAAGCCCAGCGAGGCTCCGCTGACGCTGTCCAAGTCAACATTACCACTACCCGGCCCTTGGCCCGTGTACGCGGCTGAGGGCTCGGTATGCCCATCCGTTGGTGGGTACTCCATCCCTCCAACACGTCGTCAGCACTGCTGCCGACGAGCAAGACAGTATGAAGCAAGCCCAGAGTCAAAAGATATCTCTGAGATGATGTTTTGAGCCCAAAAGTGCGTCGGGGAGAGGAGAACAGGGCAACAGAGGCAGCAACGAATGTCGCGAGACAGTAGGTGAAGTGGGGAACGAGCTGATTTTGGAGCCTGGAGCGGAGGTGATTCTAGATTATTGGTACAGGCTGTTGCCAATACGTCATGAAAGCATATAGACCTGATATCAGACAGCCCAAAGCAGGAAAGGAGTCTTCTGAACGGTAAATGAACGTTCCTGCTGGTGGTGGAGGGTGGTTGAAGGTGAGCTAACCTCGCTCTCTCTCCCACCAAGTCATCGGTATGGCGGCATCATTTGGCCCGACTTATCAGCACCGCTGCATACCGCCCGGGCCACCGCCTTGCAACCATGACCAATCCCTCAGGAAATCATCCGGGTATAGCTCCCGAGTCGGCATGACCTCTAAAAAAAGACACTGTCCTATAAGACGGTATGTATGGAGGACTCAAGATGGAGCCACATACTTGTGATAATGTTGTATTTTGCTATCACCATGTTTCACCCGCCATAGTATCCGCACTATTCTTCTTGCTCTTGGCCTTGTTCATCTGCAGAATGCGCGGTCTTTGCAAGATGTGTGAAGGGTGCATGTCGAGCCTAGCTCAATATGACTGATCCACTAGCTTTAAGTTGTCTTGCTTGAAAAGATTACAAATCGATACTCATGTTCTGGGGGACTGTCTTGATGGGCTGAATTGAGATTAAGCATAAGCATCCAGCGTAAGTGAATCGTTTGATCAAACCAATCTATCTTATGGCAGGTTTCGAGTCTGGTGAAATGAAACGCTCAACTCGTGAAGTATGATTTTAACCTGCGCTGGATCTGACTGGATCAGCAATAAATGGTCATCATTGTTTCATCATGGAAGAGGATAGCTCATAAACGGTAGCACAACCATTACACAAGAGAAAGGAAGAAATCGCTGCATCGTGAATTGAGCAAAGCACCAAAGCGAAAGCAGTAGCCGATGTCCGACAAAAATCGAAAGCTGACGGATATTAGATATTACACTAAGATGCCAAATGGATTCCCACACATTATCAGAAGTGCGACGGGCGGCGGCGGCGGCTGTATCAGGGACCCCTGTAGCGCGGGTTGAATCTAGATCAAGGTCGTGAATCCGGCCAGGAATGCACCCATAACAGTCACCAGACCGTAAAGCTGAGTCATGTCTGTCGATGATCGGGCTGCTGCGCCCTCATCGGGCACACCAGTGAAGGGTGCCAATGAGGTTGTGGTGGAAGCAGCAGTAGCAGCTGGAGTTGAGTTTGATGTCGAAGTAGTATTCACCCGCTTGGGGTCCTGCGCACCACAAGGGTGCTGGCTGCGGCAATCCGATTGGCAGATGGAATTGCCGTTGCAGTTGGTGACACACTCATTGTTCTCTTCTGTGCACAAGAAGTACGGGATCGTCTGAGAATATTGCGAAGAATTCGGGCTTAGGCCGTTACTGCAGTCACAGACATAGTACAATGTTTTCTGAGAGCATTGATCCAGGTGGTTAGACATACTCTGCCAGCAAAATTAAAAAGAATGGTATCACTCACAGGATTGCAAGTATTCTCCTTTGGCTGGCTTGTCGTTCCAGGCAATTGAAGACAGAGGAGCGGGCATGATGAGGTCTGAGCCTTACACCATTGAGCTTATCCAAGTAACAAGGTCAGTATCGCGGGAAATCGCATAGTCCTCATTGTTAGCTAGGTGACGACATACTTCTCGTATCGATTGGAATGTCATTGACATTGATATTGTAGGAAGAGTTCTGTCCGTTGGCAAGCAGGGCCAGGGAGGCGACAGCAATCGCAGAATGCAACAGATACATGATAGCAGCTTTAACTGAGAGATTAATGACTCACGAGCTATACTTTTCGGAATAGAGTGCCTGTCACTGCAGGGTCCCAGCGGTGATCTCCTGGATCTTGAACAAGATCTTCAGAAGGAAATGCCAGACGATGGAGACCAGAGGATTTGGAGCAAGCAAGAGAGAGAGATAGGAGTGGGCTTACAGCAATGAGATGGGTCAAGAATGATATGTCAAATCTGGGCCAGGGTCCAATGTGAGAGATCCTAGATCGAAGGCAGTGAAGCAGATCCTGGAGAATGGAAGGGGGGTGGGCAAGGGTTCAGGATTTAGGATTTCAGGAGATCAAAGGGTGAAGAAGACGGGGTTGAGATTGGGGATTGGGGATTGGGGAATGAGGAATCATGCTGGAGGCTCAGTATATGTAGTTTGTCCAACATCTTGTCTCGTACCACTTGGGTTTGTTACGCGAAGCGAGGTCGAGGTGGCGACGCTATGTGTTGATTAAGCTCCAGACGGGATGCTAATGGAGCCAGCCATCCAAGAATGCAACTGGTATAGTATAGTACTAGGTAACTAGTGCTGGATGGCCGTATTGCTAGTCGTAAGTTGGCTGAGATAAGTACAGTAAGTTCATTTCGTCTCCTCCGTAACTTCCCCGAGGTCCGTGGCAAACAAGCTAGTTAGCTAGTCGGCTGCCTTCCATGGCGGGGTTCATGCAGATAGGCTGGAAAGAACTGGGACTGGGAGGGACGGCGAAACATGCTCGTTATTTTGTGTTTGACTGGGTGAAGTGAGTTTTACAATCAGTCCCAACCTCAACGCGGAGGAAGAGGAAGGGAAGGGGGCGAAGAGGGAGGGGAAAGGAAGCCTGGAGGGAAGAGAAGATTGCCCGGCAGCATCAGGAGAGCAGAGAACCTGGTATGTCGATCCGGGGGCCACTAGCCGATACGACTGACTGACTAGACTACCGTAGTATGAGTATTCTAGACAGTTAGACAGTCTAGTAAGTACGGACGAAGTCCATACAGTACTGTACACAAGCAAATACACAATCACTCACCCTTTTATCGTTTTCAGGCTGGGATGGTGTTACTATCTTTAGTTTATTACCCTGGTGGCTGGCACTGGGCTGCATGCATTGCAGGTGCATCCGTGACAATCATGGTGATATCTGAGGATCTATGCAGTGCTGAGTAGGAGGAGGAGGATAAGGAGGTGGTGGTGATGGTGGGAGCATGTCTCAGTGAGATGGTAGCCTTCGAGTATCGCCTCTTACTAGGGGGAAGCGATGTTTTTCTTGAGAAAGTCTTCGTTGTCCATCATCCGGACAAAATGTCTCAGTTGCAGAAGGGTAGGATCCCTCGCAAACACGCTGATTGGGGCCGGACCCTCTTGGCTTTTTCTAGTCTGGACCCTGAAGGCAGCCTAGACCAGAAAAGGCATTTTATCTCCCTCGGGCCACTGGGCCAGTTTCCAATTGCTGGCTCTTCCGACTCGCCGGCACTCTTCAGACTTCGCAGCGTAGCCAGTCTGTCTTCAAACTCGCTGACTTGTCAGCTGGAAATGGCGTGGGGGGAGTCACCATTGGATATTATCAGAGACTCGGGCAATGAAGTAATCATTAAATGAATTACACAACTTAATTCAACTCAAGAACCCAGTACCAAGTGTAGTGTACTAAGTAAAATCTGTCGTCCTTGGTTTGTTGTTCTAACTTCTCACATGACTCGCCGCCTTTCTCGAGCAGTAATTAGTAGTCCCGTGACTGGAGGTGGCTTGGACTGCCCGGGATGGAAGCTGCGGGAAAGTTGCCCGGTGGTGGTGCCATGGCAGTGGCAGTCGTCCTCGTCGCCGTCGGAGTCTGCCGAGGATGATCGCCGCTTCAATCATCAGCCGTTCACCAGAGACCGTTCCTCAAACCAAGAGACACTTATGACGCTGGCACTGAATGACTAGGCACGATAAGCGCATTTCTTGGTTCATGTATGTATGTCCCACGGTCTGAAACATTTTCAACTATCTTATCAGCTCCTCTTCCCGTGATTCAATTCCCCCGCACTTCCTTCTCTCCCCCCCGTTCGTCCCAACGTACAGTACTAGTCTACCTACCGGATAACGCCCTGGACGTGGCTTGTTGTGACCGGTCATCGATGATTCTGGCATGCATCTGACTGTATTCTGTACGCCGAACGGACACAGACCCTCTTCCCCCTCATTCGATTCCTCTGCTTGGAACCACGGGAAAGCTTCGAAGACTATTCTATTCAGTCTTAGTGGACATTGAGTTTACCCTGGGTTAATCTCCGCTACTGGTCATTTTCCTCCTTAAGCTTGCATCGTGATTGACCTGACCTATTCTTAGTGACAGTCCGGATCGTCTCCGCCAAATCTGCCGAGTGACATTTAGATGGATGGAGCCAGCGAATGAGGATACTGGCCTCGTGCCTTCGCCGCACCCAAACTCACCCTCCCCCCAACCTTCGGCTACCTCCAGCACGGACGACACCACCCTGAATCTACCCATCAACGGCGATGATACCCCTTTGCTTCAAGCTCGGGATGCTTCGAGTAATGAGCGCCCGATTTCCGGGATAGTCCCTCCATATTGGACTCATCACAGAGCTGCTTCCAGAATCTCCCAAATATCTCTCGACGCTGGCCCGGCTATCACCCTCGAGGACCACACGGAAGATCCGGAATGTGAGACTAGTCGTGGACTGTGGGCGAAGAGCGTCTCAGTGGATGATTATGTTGTTGTTCAAGGAAAGACGGGGATTGGATCGTACGTAGTCTGGAATTGCAGGGTTCAAACACTTGATGTGAGTTTGGGCGTATCAAAATTGCGCTGCTGCTACTCTGAGCGCTACGGGACATTGGTCGAGTGCTAATAGCTGCTCCAGGGGGGCCCTATCACAGTGCGATTGAGGGAAGCTTTTCGCATTCTCCCCTATAGCCAAAATTACCTAATGCTTATTATTATGTTCAGGTATTCCGAGTTCGACGACCTACGACAACGCCTCATAGTATCATTTCCGCATGCCAAAAACGCCCTTCCTCCCTTACCTCCTAAGAGTGTAATCTGTATGTGTCGCGCAAGCTGCATGAGAAAGCATACCAGCTCACAGATCCCTTTAGTCAAGTTTCGTCCTAAGTTTCTTGAATCGCGTCGCGCTGGTTTGGAATATTTTCTGAAGTGAGTTGCGCCATGGGTGGCAGAATTGTGCACGGATGCGAAGAACTGACATTGTGGTTCAAAGCTGCGTTCTACTGAACCCTGAATTTTCTAGCTCTCCGATTGTCAAGGATTTCCTTTTTGGACGGACGTGCTAAGGGGATCCTGCTGTTTGCCCTTAACATAAAGAAACGCCATCCTACTACAATCACGACATCAACGAATATGAATATACCTATTCACACCTGGTTTCATGTCCTCGAGAAAGGAGGCAGATATTCATTTACATATATATGTTGCATCCAACACCATGTGCTGACCCAAACAAACCTCCGGGAAGATTTTAGCAACCATCGCCATCAGTCATGTTTGGCCTTATTTGGACATAGTCAATATCACAGACTCCGTTGGGGATGCACTGTGATAGATATTTGGCAATGGCTTGTATCGCTTCGATACAGTCAGCCTTGACCCATCACTTTGCAGAAATGTTTCTACGGGACTAGGGGCTCATGTGATGCGTCCCCGATATTTGGAGTGACCATCCGAGTAATGTGTTAGCGATTCGCTCCCGCCCCGAAGCCTATACCTTCGGGGTGCATGCGTTCTACGTGCTTCCCATTACTCATGATCTGGAACTATTGAGGCCCGGAGCCTGTTTAATTATATTCAGCTGCACATCACTTATAGTATCGAAGTAGCATGACGCGTGAGCCTCATCCTGAGTCGTCGTACCTCACAAATCCTCATAGCTAGCGCAGCTAGCTTTTCTCATCGGCCGCAATGACCACTGATGTGTGTGCTGTCTCGCTATCATGCGCCTTTACCTTTTGCATGTGCTTCGAGTATTTCTTGCCCGCAATGAGCCACCACAGTAGCTCGAGAAACAAGAATCCACCGACACATACACAAGTATAGTTCATGTTCGATACTATTCCAGCTAACTGTCAGCCAGCGGGCCCTTATCTTTTGTAGGCCGCTGGAGACGGCCTTCTCCATAGCAACTGGGTCGTCCACTTACCGGTCACAGGCATCTCATAAGGGAACGAAAAGAACACGATGGCAAAAATCAACCAGGCCACCGTGAGGATATTGACCGTCATCCCCATGGCAAAGCTTAAGGCAAAGGGGCCGTGGTGCATGGTCTGCCGACGGAGCAGCACGTTGGTCAAGATCGGCACAAGATAAGCAAAGTTGTTGATCGTCCTGCGTTGCGATAATGTCAAAACCAGCCCCGGAGCTTCCAAAATCGATTTCAGGAATGAGTGAAGCTTACATACACTGCAGAACTCATCATGGAGTTGAAGGCCGTGCTAGAGCCCAGATAAATGCATCCCAGAAGAGCGACGATGATGCCGACAACTAGCTGGGCGTTAACCGGAACCCCATATCGAGGGCTGACTTTTGAGCAGCTGCAGTGGCCGTCAGCATATATTCCTTTCGCTGTTGGGCATTGGCAAGGCTTCTATCAGAGACTCACAATCTCGAGAATGGAAGACCCCCGTCTCTAGCGAACGCCCAGAACATTCGCCCCGTGCCTGTTTAATGGGAAAGCAGTGTTAACATGAATACCATGAATACCTACTTGGGGCTTTCAAGGGTTAGGCACATACTCAGCTGCGAACCAATCATACACGGGCCCACCGCCACCCACAAGAGAAAAACAAGCGCAAAAGCACCTCCTCGGCTCTGGGTCGCCTGGCGAAAAATCTCCGCCAGAGGCAGGCCCGTGGGCGAGTCGGCAAGAGTTGTGTAGTCTTGGACCGAGAACATCAAAGCTAGGAGATAGGACAATCCGGTCACAAAAGCTATGCCAAGAGTGCAAGCTTATCCGGAGTCATGACACCTGTCAGCGAGACTGTATATAAACTCGGCATTGATAATGGTTACTCACCCAGAGCCAACGGAGCATTCCTTCCAGGCTGCGAGAGGTCAGTTCAGCGCAGCCAGCGCCCCCTGGGGAGGGCAGGTACATACGTTTGGCATCTCCTCTGTAATATGCTGTTTATGAAAAGTCAGTCAGAAGCTTCTTAGATCAAGCCAGTCTGGCAGGGTATGACTCTTACCGTGATCCCATCTAGGCCACCTAGAGAATACAGCGGATTTACCAAGCCGGTGATGAAGCAAATGACATTATTCTCCCACCCAGTCTCGTTGATCCAGGTGCGGAAAACGAATTCAGTATCATTATGTTTTGGGGCCGCCGCCGCCACAGTAACGAGGATGGCAAGCCAAGCCAACTGAAGATAGCATACTTTATCGATCGTGAAACAGGAAGGAAAACGTCAGTTCTTTCGCAAGACACAGAGGACTTAATCAGCCCAAAACCTCCACTTACACGAGAACTTGTTGATTGCAGGCATCCACTTATTTCCAAACATGACAATGGCGGACGTAAGAAGATTGAACCCTTGATATGCCACGAACGTCATCCATGGCTGCAGCACGAAATCGGTTTTATATAATCCAACGAGGGCCATGAAGTTGGATGCGTAAACCAGGTTCGTCGAAGCCGTGGTGAAGATCCCTATCAAGGCAGTTAGTACTGGTGGTTGTAGGGAAATCACCTTGGCTTCTGCATACATCCAAAGACGGTGCTCCAGCCGGTTGCGAAGCTCAACACATCGCTATAGCGATGGGGGGCTATCGCTGCAATCCAGTGATACATCCCACCTTCCACCGGATACGCCGAGACAAATTCCGCCAAAGACGTGGCCAAGAAACACTGCAGGATGAAGACCAGGATGAATCCGTAGATTACTATACGAGTCTCAATGGTTAGCTCATGTTGGTTGAATCTTCCTCTTTTGCTTTTGTTTCCATGTTACCAGGAACGGTGGGGGGGTGGGAAGCTGCATACATGCGCCAGGTCCTCCCGCATTGATAGAGGTGATCAACCCCAGTCCAAGTCCTATTGAAAAGGAGATTCATTCAGCCAATAGATCAAATTTCACATCTCCCACTCGTCATACCTGTCCAGGAAATGGTGCAATTGGCCGCTAATCCAATCAGACTCCATACCGAGAAATGGCGTTTGAGCTCCTGTTTATGTCCTGGAGGAATGTCGAGAAGTTAGCTTGAATGACCGCCATCATCGAGACTCAGTCAGAACTTCCACTCCTCATGCGCAGAGGGAAAAATGCATCCAATTCAGACATACGTACCCATTTGCGCCAGACGCAGCTCATCTGCATCCTGGACTTGAACGCTGCCGGGCCCATAGTCGTCAAATGGCCGCGCGGGTACAGGCGCCGAGGCCGTCTTGGAATCACCCATTTTGGCGCGAGGTGAAGACTTGATGTGCTCGAGATGGATGTAGAAGCCCCCTCAGAATTTGGAAGGAAGGAGGAAGGGGAGAGGGGGAGGGGGACGAGTGCGTTACTCAAGGGATGTATGCGCGTGAGAGGGCCCTCTAACTACTAAGTATAACCCCATTGTTTTCACCTTATCAACCTTATCAGGATTGATTGGAGGGTCTGCTTATCGCTCGGTGGCAGAGGCACCGGTCATCTGGGGAAAATCGCCGGTTGGCCGATGAAAAACACCGGAGGATAAATGGGTCTGAAGTTTGCAGGGCAGTGATCTGAAGCAACGGTACGAATCAGAGGGCTTGGAAGGTGGGCTATCTGCCGAGGAGGTATTCGGACTAAGGTTAGGTAGGTAAAGCGTACTCCATAGATGAGACGATAATCGCATTAGATTGAACCGAGGTCCTGGACTATACCAGAAAAGGTTGAGTCTCTGCCAAAGAAAAACTACCATTTCTAGGGCTCAACAAGATGATGAAAAATTGAATCTTTGCAAGCCATTAATATTATACTGTCTATGATCTATATATACTGACACCTGTCCTTCACCAGACCTTGCTTGTCCTCGTGTCCCATTTATTGCAGTCATAAGTTCATCAATCGGTAGGCCAGAGACATTATGGAAGAAGAAGACATGAAAATCATTGAGCCAGGACTTTTTATACATCCCCGGTCGGTCGGGTCAAGCGACCGTTTGATTGTGCATATCACGAACAAGCTCGACCGAGGGTTTCGCCTTGTGTATTGCACCACAATGGGTTATCGAAGAAGATGATGAAGCGTCACAAGTAAAGGGCGTTTTTTAACGGGGTTATTCAAGCAGTTGAGCACCGTTAGTTCACCGTTTTGCTTCGATCAATGGCTCTTGTAACCGCCTTTGCTGGGGTCGGCGCTAGGGTTGAGAGGAGCAAGTGTGCCCTCTCCAAACTCGCGATACGCCTGTTCTCTCGCGACGGACTTGTCACGCCGGATGGTCAAGCAGTTGATACCCAAGAAAGTCGTGATTCTGTTGATGACCAAGAATGCCCAGTGCATGTACGCGACGAACGCCACAAAAAGGTAAAGACGTAAGTAGAGTAGCTCGAAAGATGCGCTCACCATCGGAAGGCCCAGACGTGGTAGATTGGCCAGGATAGCACCTCCGATAAGTGGTGCCTGCAGCACCGTCCAATACGGGAATGGCTGTCTCAACAAATGAGCAAGAATGATCTTAGTCGTCATGCGTCCAAAGACGAACGAGATGGTCCAGCAATACAGAACCAGTCGGTTATGAGCTAGCAGAGTCGAATACGGAGAGAAAAGCCAGGCAAGGTTGCAACCAGTGAAAACGATCATGGGTACCCATTCCTTGAAGATAGGGGTAATGGGCAGGCCTTGTTTCCGGCGCGCAGCCACAACGTTGAGGACACAGCCAGGAAGGTGGCCAAGGAGAAAAGACCCAAGAAGTATGGGAATCCACAGGTCCTTCATGGAGTTGTTCCCGAAGATTTGCGGGTAGTTCAAGAACTCAACGATCGGCCGGGACCAGATCTGAGGACCATAGACACCTGACGCGATCATGATCGCAATCGCGATAAGCAGACCCTCGGTAGGACCGTTAAAGTAACCGAGGTAAAGGGTGTGCGTATGGTACGTTTCCCAGGTCGAGAAATACATAGCGAGGCACGGAACCAGAGCTGTGTATGCACCTAGTTTGGACGAACCGTAGCCCATCGCCGCCGTCTCAAGCAAACTAGCCAGGGTGCAGTTCAGCGAATCGATGCCATGGCTGCCTAACGTTAGTTCCCCATTGTCTTATCAGAGATAGACAAGAATGCTTACTCAAAAAGCTCGCCCAAACCACTAGAGGTGCCGGTTCTGCGCGCTTGTTTCCCATCGACGTTATCCAGAGTGGAGTACCTTGCGCTGGTCAGTGACACCAAAACGACGAGATCAAAGGTGCAGACTCACATCCACATGCCAAAAGCGAAGCTGTAATATAACCAAGAAGGACCCTTCGCGCACAACTGTTCAGCTTCGCGGAGATGGTAGATTGTAGGGTGGTGCTCTTACTGGGCCCACAAGATCCGGCATATAGATCTCTATAAGCATCACGTTCCCAACGATGAAAAGAAAACCCAGTAAAGTGACCATATTCGGGGCCAACGAGAGTGGTAAAATCTCAACAAATGCATTCCACTAGTCGGAAGTTCTGAGGGTCAGACAAGCGGGCGAAGGCGATTAATGAGGGCAACCTTACGTAGTGCCTAAGTATATAGTTCGAGATAAAGGACTTATCGACGCTTTGATACTTGTAGCTCTTCAGGGGCATCAAGATATCATCGGAAAGCGAGTCTTGGATCGCTACGAGATGCGCAGGGCCAATTAGCTCTACACAAGCGTAGGGCTGGGGAAAGTACTCAAGTAGAATTGCATGGACACACCTTGGATCCTTCTGAAAATTACGCTCATTCTGGATTGTTATATGTATGACGAAGAATGTCTCGGAAAAACGATTTAGAATAGTCAGATATGGCGCATTGCGCGGTATGCAATTGAAAGGAGGAGAATAGCTCGCGAACAATCACGGATCCTCAATGTACCGATTGAGCCTCTCTACTATTACGTAGTGCTGAACGCTGGTGCTGAACGCTGAAAAAGCAGCCAAGGGCAGTAAAGACGGGGAAAAGAGAGTCCTGTCTTGAGTCTGCTTGAGAGGAGGAATGACTCTGGGCGGAGAAAAAAAAGGAAAAGGAGGGCCTCGGGTTCCAAGTTGGATGATCCCGGCTACAAGAAAGAAGGAAGAGGGAAGAGAGGAACGGGAACGGAATCACGTGTCTGCTACCGTGCTCCGCAAGCTTTCGACGCTGGAAACGCGACATGGTGAGAAATTGAAGTGAACCTCATTTTCTGTGTTTTTGTGTTATTCCTTCTCGACGCCCTTTCTGGGTCCTGCCGCTGGAGGTGCATTTTCTCTCCTGATACCGCGACGAAGATTATCGACTAAGCCGAGCTCATCTCACTCCGCCTTATTCCTGTTGTTTCCCCGCCGTTGAAGCTCATCCGACCGATTCAGCCGATAACGTCTTCCTCAACTCTGTCGCCCAAGATCGTTCGACAATCGCGCCCGAGGTGAAAGGAAAGTGATATCAGGTACTGGTCTCATCGCTCTTTGAGCCTGGACATGACGGTGGATGGTCAGTGTGGCGCTCGCGGCGCAGTGCACGACTGAGTATACCCTGCGCCATGCCAGGCGTCGTCGAGCCTCCCTCTGGGGCTCCTAGGCCGGACCTAGGCTTTACTGTCGCGCATCAGAAGGTTGAGCTTGAAATTGACTTTGCGACCAAGAGCCTCAAGGGAAAGACCGAGATCACAATTCACCCGCATCACAAGGATCTTCGCGTATTACGACTGAACTTCCGGCAAGGCGAGCTCAGACGTCTAAATGTCAGTGGGAAGGTACCGACGGTCAAATACGTGGATCAGTATGAGACACTCCAACTATACGGCCCTCACTATCACCAACGTCTTTCGGCCAAGATAGACGGACTGCTCAAGACACCGCCAGAGCCCGATTTGCTCGTGTCTGTCCCGAAAAGCGTTCGAATCGATGAACTCGATCCTTTCTCTATCGAGGCCCAGGATCAAATGACCCTACGCGCTACAGGGGCAGCGGATGAGGGGGAAGGGCCTTTGAGCTCTAAGGCAGCAGAGACCTCACTTCCGCGGTTCACGGCATTGACATTGTATATCGAATTCGTCACCGACAACATACGAGACGGGCTGCAGTTTGTAGGGGTCGAAAACGGCGACAGACGCTATCCCCATGCCTACACAACAAACTCGCTTGGATACGGAGTCGGTTGCCCGCTTTTCCCGTGTGTGGACGACCCTGCTTCACGTTGCACATGGGAAATATCGATCAAATGTCCATGCACGCTGGGCGATATGTTCGATCGCAAGCTGCGGGATCAGGCGAATTTGGGCAGTTCCGGCCGGTCGAATGCTCGAGGACCATATATTGCCTCGGATGATGAGGGATTGGATGTAGCGGTTGTTTGTTCCGGCGATCTTACGGACGAGATTATCGACCCGAAGGATTCCAGCAAGAAAACAGTTTCCTTTGCTTGCTACTCTCCTCTCTCGGCACAGCAGGTTGGATTCGCAATCGGTCCATTTGAGTACGTGAACCTGGCCGATTTCCGCGAAAGTGATCAGGATGAACAGCTTGGTCAAAATGCGATTCCTTTGCATGCGTTCTGTCTCCCCGGTAGGGCGGACGAAGTTCGCAATACATGTTTCCCTATGGCGAAAGCTATAGACTTCTTCTCACTGTCATACGGCTCTTATCCATTTTCAAGCTACAAGGTCTGCTTCGTAGATGACTTGCCCGAAGGCACACTGCCAACGGCTTGTCTTTCCATCTGCAGCAGCCACCTATTGTTTCCTGAAGAAGTCATTGATCCAATGTATGATTCGACACGTACTTTGGTTCATGCTCTCGCATCCCAGTGGATCGGCGTCAATATCGTCCCAAAAGAGCCTGCTGATACCTGGGTCACCGTGGGCGTCTCTTGGTATATCACGGACACTTTCATGCGAAAGCTTTGTGGCAACAATGAATATCGCTTTCGTCTGAAACAGATGTCCGATAAAGTCTGCGATCTGGATTATGAACGACCATCAATCCATGACATGGGAAACATCCTACACATAGATCCTTCTGAGATCGACTTCATTGCGCTCAAAGCTCCTCTTGTGTTGTTCATTCTCGACCGGCGGCTTACGAAGGCAAGCGGAAAAGCAACAATGTCTCGGATCATATCTCGGCTATTCTTGAACTCCAGAATGGGCGACATACCAAATGGAGCCGTCACCAGTTCACTTTTCCAGAAGACTTGTGAACGACTTGGTCACGCAAAGCTGGATGCGTTCTTTCAGCAGTGGGTATATGGTGCTGGGTGTCCGCGCTTCCAGGCTACCCAACGATTCAACAAGAAGAAACTTGTTGTCGAAATGATGATAAGACAAGTCCAAGCAGACCCATCAAGTACACGTGATCTCGACAAAAACGCGTTTATGCGTGACGTCAAAGAAGAGATACGCAATGTCTATGCCGGAGTTGTCCAGCCTGTTTTTACCGGTTCTATGACGATAAGAATTCATGAAGCTGACGGTACGCCCTACGAACACATTGTTGAGATCAAAGAAGGAGTCACCAAGTTTGACATTCCCTACAACACGAAGTACAAGCGGCTGAAGAGGAACAAGAGGCAGAAGGAGCGTGCAGCTGCAGCATCGGGTGGTGACCCTAGCGCTGAAGCACAGGAGGACGTCCTGCTCTATTGTCTGGGCGACGTCTTACAGAGCGAAGAAGAAATCCAAGAATGGAGGCTTGCCGATTGGAGCAAAGAGGACGAAGAGAGAATGGGACAGGAATCTTATGAGTGGATTCGCATGGACGCAGACTTTGAATGGGTTTGCAAGTTATCACTGGCAATGCCAGGATACATGTATCTCTCACAACTCCAACAGGATCGAGATGTCATTGCGCAATTGGAGGTCAGCTCGTCCCATACTTATTTACACATATGCACATGCTGACATTTTACTAGTCGTTGCAATACATGGCGGTTCAGCGCGAGCACCCGCTGATCTCGTCCATATTTGTACGAACTCTTATGGACCGAAGGTACTTTTACGGCATCCGTGTGGCTGCGGCTCAAGCCCTAGTCAAGCATGCCAAGGAAGAAATCAACTGGCTTGGATTGTTCCACCTTGAGAGAGCTTTTCAAGAACTTTTCTGTCTCCCGGGGTCTCCGATGACTCGCTCGAACGACTTCGCCGATAGAGCTGCATATGTACTCCAACTAGTCATCCCAGAAGCTATATCCAAAGTACGCGACAACAATGGAAAGACGCCAATGAGGGTGAAGCGCTTCTTGTATGACAAGTTGAAGTTCAATGATAACTCTAATAATGAGGTGAGCCTCCTACTCGTAGTTATTCATATGTATATGCTCATGGTGTCGCAGTATTCGGACAATTTTTACGTCGCGACATTGATGGAGTCGCTTTGCCACGCGATGCTGGGAAAAGTCGAGTCTCGAATGGACGACCTCGACGACTTCGATATGGATCGTGTGCTTGAGACCCAAGCAGAGGATCAATTAGAGAAAGACGCCATTGCAGAGATCGATAGATACAGAAGAATGGACGAATGGTCCAGTTCTTTCCAGAACATCTATTCTTGCGCCGCATTACGTTGTCAGATGCAACTTATGAAAGCCAACATATCGAGTCTCGATATGATGCAGTTCTTGCCATACACACGAGCTGGCACTTATGACCTTCTCCGCCTCGCCGCATTCGAATGTCTTGTCGAACTCGATCTATTCCGGAGCCCCGAACTTCTGCGGTGGTTCATATTTACCATGTCAAGCGATTCTTCCGCTTTGATCAGGCGACGACTCCATGGCTTATTCGGCAAAGCCCTGGCGCCTGTCGCCTTCGGCCGCGATGTGAACCAAGAACAACCCGCCAATGCCGACAACTTGATTATCGAGCAAGAGTCCTCAACTGAAGTCCGCCAAGCGGATCTTGCACGGAGACAGACTGTTACCGGAGCCTTGGGGGCCTTGAAAAACGAAGTATCAGGCGATCAGGTTCTGAAAGAATCGCTCTGGGCTGCATGCAATTCTCCATACATTGGGGTACTGGAACTCTCCGAGTTTACTGATCTCTGTCGAGTCTTATATGACGCTGTCACGACCCGTATGGTTACCTTGAAGTATCCTCGTTACTGGGCTGTGAAGCATCTTGGAAGAGTGAGTCCTACCAGCGCACCAGCATACACCGCGCACAGCGGCTAAGAAGTCCCGCTAACACCACATAGGGTCGATTACACTTCTTCCGGTCGAGCAAAATCCGGACGGCGCTTGCTCCATCGAAAGAACCTACTGCTGCCAAGCGCAAGCGCGAAGACCAGGCGATGGCACCGCCTCCCCCTCGCATTACATTCAAGAGCTCTAAGTTGGGTTCTAGTGCAGCCCCCTTCAGCCCGAAACCGAGCCCGAAACCGAGCCCGAAACCGAGCCCGCAACCGACGCCAAAGTTGCACATTCCAAATTTACCCTCCCCTGCGCCCCAGGCGCCGGCACCGAAGACAGCAACTGCTCCCTCAACACCATCTACGCCCAGTGGTGGGGGGTTCAAACTGAAACTGAAGTTCGGCCAGAAGCCGAAATAGTCTTTCCCAAAACAAACTCGATACCATTATTTGCCTAATTCGTTATCTCATTGGGACTTCGGAAAGGGGTCAGGTCAGGAGACGCATGGCGCGGGGTTGCATGGATCATTGTTATCTTTTTTGACAATTCTATATTCTAGAAGAACCATCACTCTATTCTGGATTATTCTTAGGTGCAGATAGTTCAGCCGCCTATCTGTTGGATTGGGGTTCAGGCTTTGCAACAGAAAGTGATGATCAGTCTGGCTGTCAGGGATCATCTCTCCCAGCAAATTTCACCCTCACGAGATTCCACCCTCGAGGCCTTCCAAACTTAGTCCGTAATGAAAATTCTCGTAGCCAGAGAATCAAGTACATGAAATGCCCTCGATTATGCCATGCGAGCAAAACAACCCGTGAACTCCTTATTGCATTTCGAAACAATCCCACAATGAAGGTATAAAAAGACATTTCAATTTCAGTTTCCCACCGCCTTTGACCTCTCTCATTTGTCGCTTATACGCTCCAGAGCCTAAGTAACGCACGTAAGTTAGTCAATGCGACCACTGGATGACAAGAAGAAGGGATGAGACGAGGATAGAAAGACTCACCTCAAGCATAACAACGGAGTTGCCGCGAATGACCTATGAAACATTCCCAATATCAGCTTTTGTTCTGGTCCTGATCTAAGTCTTCGAATCAGGATCTCCGAGGTAACATACCACCATGCCGATAGCAACCTTCTCACCACCTTGCTTCTCTTCGAAAGCCTCATCGAGCACAATGTTCATGAATACCTGCCATGCAGCCCGCCGTTAGTGACATCCCTCTCAAGAATACGAGAAGAGGCATATGGGACTCCGCGTGAGAAAACAAGCATCTAGGGGTCTTTTATCCGTGCTCCGTGATCCCCCCAACCCATGATGGAATCAATCAAGAATATATAAACGCACATCGTAGCCGCGCAGGATACCAATGACTTTGCGGTTGCCGTTCAGTTGGCAGAATACCCGCTTCTCCATGTACTAGATAGAGGGAAAGACCTTGTCAGTAAATCACGATTCAGGAATAGATTGGAGCTCGGAGTAACAGATCATACCTTCTTCAATTCCGGCTGAGCTTGAGGCATTTTGGGCTGATTTGATCGGGTGGATCGTCTATGATGTCCCGCTGTCGCGTTGCGGACTTTTGACGTACAGCGAGCGGGCGGCGGAGGAGGAGGGATAAGCTGGCCCGGATAAAGGTTGTTCCCGGGGGGAGCTTCCAACGAAAGAAACCGGGGGCGGCGGAGGTGGAAACGGTGACGCCAGTGCTTGTCGGAGGCCGCTACTGTTGTTATCCTGGACGAGGAAGTGGACTATACGGTCGGGATCTGTTTACAATGAGCTCAAAGATTGCTAATCGCCGAAAACCTCGCAAAATCGGAGGAGATGACGAAGATAGCGATGGCGGGGAGCAAGGTTCGTTGTTGAAACATGCAAATACTGCTTTAACATTCTAGCAAGGACAGTGGGATCTGACTAGCTTTAGACTCCGGACCCGTTGTCAAGCGCCCGTCGAATCTCAAAACGAAACAAAAGTCGAAATTGCGTCTCTCCTTCGGTCCCGGCGAGACGTCGATGACGGACAACAGCGGCGATGGCGAGAATGAAAGTGAGGTAGTAATGCCGAAGCGACATGGCTTGGGCCGACGGGTCTTGGAAAAGAGCGCCTTTCAGAGGTCATTAACGCCGTCTGGGGCTGGCAATCCTCCTTCCTTGAGGGTTGGACCCGAGCAAGATCGACCGAGCTATAGTCAGGACTATCTAAAGGAGCTGCGCGAGTCGACCCCCTCGACCCCGAAGGCGACAAGCACCGAGGAAGAGGAGAATAAGAACAAGACGATCGACGTGGCTGCCAAGTTTGGAGAAGTGATGAAGGTATCAGCACCAGCAGCCATCCCCAGTCAAGCGGAGATTAGGGAGAAGAAAGCTCGGAGAGCACGTCTCGCTAAGGAACATGGCAGTCTTTCGACCACGGAAAAGGATTTTATCTCTCTTGACGTTGGTGGCGATGATGATGATGAATGGGATTTACAGGGTCGACGGGAGCAAGCCGAGCATACCAGATTGGTCCGTGACGACGAAGATTTTGCTGAAGGATTTGACGAGTTTGTGGAAGATGGTCGCATCTCCCTTGGAAGGAAAGCAGAGCGCGAACAGCAGCGACGGCAACGCGAGGAGATGCGAGAACTTATCGACGACGCCGAGGCGCTCTCAGAAGAAGACGATTCGGATGTGGAAGAAAAGGCGGCCTACGAAGCTAAGCAAGCACGAGCTGCGATGGGCAACAGTCATCGGGACAGTATTGATCGGCCAAAAACCCCACCTAAAGTTACCTCGCTTCCGCGTCTTGCTCATTCCCTTGAGCGACTACGTATGAACCTCGCCGTCCTGGAAACGTCCAAAGCCCAGATGGTCGATCGCATGGAAGAGTTGCGGAAGGAGAAGGCCGACATAGCTGTCCGGGAGGTGGAGATCCAGGTCCTGATCAAAGAGGCTGGCGATACCTATGAAAAGCTCAAGCAGGAAGCTGAAGCATCGTCAGGTGTCGAAGGCAATCAATCAGCAGCTGACGACTTCGCGAATTCCCGCGGTTTGGAAGGCCTGGGCGCATCAATGGCACCTTCGACGGCAAGTAACTCGGAACAGGAACCCTGAAGGCGTGACTACCTTATTTGTTTCTTCGTGTCTGGATCTCGTCCATTGTTCTTGCCCTGACAGACCGACAAGGCCCTAGCTGCAACTCCTCTGTTGTCAAGCCTTTGCTCACTATCTTACTGTCCATCACATCATGACCGCATGTTTATCTTTCTGTGATACCCACCCGCATGAAAACTACTCTATGCCTTGTTGACCCGGTCGAACATGGCTCCGCCACTCTTTCTCTCTTGGTTCCATCAACCGTTGCGTAAGACAGAGTGTGTCGAAGAAGAAGAAGAAGAGGAGGAAGAAACTGCCCCGTAGGCCAGCCTATTTGCATCTCGGCTGTGCTTCCACTGATTAAGCAACATTTAGATGTCAGCGAAGTGTTATACCGTTTTTTGAATCGCCTATCGAAGGAAAAGATGGAGAGCCTCCTCACCTCTATCATCATTCTGATGCAACTCCAATTGAATTGTTCCTTGACCTCTTCTTCGTTGCCAACCTCTCAACTTTCACAGCCACGCATGAGATCAATAATGTAGATGGTTAGACTTGAGTTTCCCCTCTAACAGTTCGTGTTGACCCTGATCTAATGAGTTCTGGCAGCGTTGGGGGCATATGTTGGCTTTCTTGGGGTGGTCTGGTTCACCTGGCTCCAAGTGACCTTGTTCGATATTCGATTCGCTCGCGACTCGATCTTTGAGCGAATCTGCAAAGCTATTCAAATGGCCGTGATGGTGGAATTTGCGTCAGCAGGGACTCGATTTACCACACAAGTGCAAGACGATAACATCTGGGCATTCCAGTCATTGAGCCTGATACTCGGTGTCAGTCGGCTTTTGCTTTCTATACAATACACTGTCGACGCCATCTTTCTGAGCAAGCGTATGAGGTCTGCGTCTATAAGAATTTATTTTATCGCCGCAACCTTATTTATCACGGGTTTTATCTACTTCTGGGTAAGCACTCAAGATATAGAACATGCATCGGCGCGAGGATGATTGGGTAACTTTTCTGTCACTAGATGTACTTTGCCTTTCGCAGCCGAGGTGTGGGCGGTACATATGCCTGGATTGTTTGGTTCGTTCTGTTCGCCATAGAAATGTGGGTAGTCATGGGGTCGTCTTCTGTGAAAGCAGGGATCGGTCTTCAGGACACTCATCTGAACGTAAGGATGGGCCTACTAACCCTGATAATTATTGGTGAGGGCGTCATCGCTATCACAAGGATTGTTAACAAGACGGTCGGACCGGGAGGGTGGACCAAGTGGTCGTTTGCCCATATTCTCGGCGTTACGACTAGTGTGGTATGGCTCAGCCATGCTCTTCCCCGTCGAGTCCGAGACATGCTAACTACTTGAGAATACTTAGTATCTTCTATGGCAAGCGTACTTCGATCTCTCCCCACGGCGTACCTCGGGCAAGTTTTCTCAGCAGATCTGGGCCCAGCTCCACTTTCCGTTTCATGTCGTTCTCATTCTTCTGCTCGAAGGCTCTCAGATCCTTGCCTTGACTCTGGACATCACTCTGAAGCTCAAGTACCTGACTGAGACGATATTATGGACCTGCGAAGAGCCACGACCCATGGCAGAAGAGGCCATTCATCTGCTGCGGACGACCATTGCCGATATGGAGATCAACTACAGCCGGGGCGCGATTAATGAACAAATCTCCATTTCCCAACTGTTGAATGATCTTCCGTATCAGCCACTGTGCCCATCGGATGGGCCAGATGACTTCCCTGCCACTAGTGACCTTCTCAGTAACCTGGTCGGAAATGTTACAGCGGCTTTGTTCACCAGCATGGGTATCATGCCCTCCAAGAATGTAGACATTGGATCGATGGGTAGTGATCGGTTACTGCGAATGTACATGGAGCTCCTTAGCTTTGTCTATATCTACTACTTTGCGGTGGCAAGTCTGGCCATGTTCTTCTTTGCTGCATTCGTCTTGTTGACGCGTCGCCATGCCCGCGGTATCTGTGCTGCTATCAGTGTGACAGTGCGGGTCCTTTTTGGGATATTCTTAGCCGGTCTGATCAGCTTTTCCCGGCACTTTTCGCTCGTTTACTCGTTCATGACATCTCCGGCTATTCTGTATGCCTTCACGCTTATTCTTCTAACTGGCAAGTCGAGATCGTCCGTCTTTCCGTGCAGTTGATTTACTAAGCCATGTCACAGTGCTCCTAGTTGACCGATTTCTGGACCGTCATGGAGAGCGCATCAAGCCCCAGATGGGATGGAAGCAGTCAATCGAAGCTCTTTGGTAGCCATTTCGGACGATGGAGCTGCAGGAGGGCTTTTGTGACAGCCATTTCTACATCATTTCTAAGGATGACTGTGACAAGTACAGTTCATCCCCGGCTGTCGCCACTTGTGTTTGCAAAATTCCATTCCTATTCCATTCTATTGTGGGTCATTGCGGGCAAAGGCCACGGGTAGAGCACAATAGGTGCATTAATGTAGTAGAACCTGTGTCTCAGGCCGTAGTGATTGCACTCATCTGATAGATGACTCCCAACTCGCCGTAACCTTGTCCCCCATGATCAAAGAATAAGATGACACGCCACCATCGCAATGATCGCGATGGCTAGGATGAATGGTCTGTTGGCAAACTGGGTACTCACCCACGGAAAGAGACATGAGAGATCAAAACAGTCTCGTTTGAAGTTCGCCCCCCCCTCCCCATCATTGCTCTGCTTCGTAATTTCCCATATCTCGTAGAAAGATAATTGAGAGTTGGGACAAAGGAGAAGCAAGAAAGTAGTGAGCACGCCATCAATCCGCTTTCCCCCTTCCCCGGAATCATTGGAGAAGCAAATCGAGCAAGAAGTAACAGTCCGATGCGACGGAGAAAGTCCTCCTCAAAGAGGAGTAATGGGGAGAAAATCCGGGGGGGAAAGACCACAAAATTAAACACGGAAGTAGCAGGGGCGGGGGAAGAAGCAGCAGGGGTCCCCGGACTTTGGGGTTGGAACTGAAAAAAAGTACGGTACTGGTTCATTCCCCTGCCATTTCTGTGTTTTTCTGTCTACATTGCATAAAAATGCTTCGAACATGTCGTGAATCTGGTAGGTAGGCTTCCAAGTGGATTGGTAGCTATACCCTGCGTATAATCAAGAAGTGACCAATCAAATGTCTTCCTCCAGGCATGACTATGTCCTACGAGTAAGTACACCTGGCAGTACTATCATAGGTACTATGTACGACTGTAGACTACAACTACCCATGTACGGATACCCTGGCCGTGTCACCATGGGTACCCAATGCCGAAAAAATTGTTCAAGGGAGATAGAAAACAAGAAAAAATATCAAGTGAGATAGGCAATGACAACATAATTGTAAGAGAAAAACGAGAGGGAGGTATTGACAAATGACCCTTCGAAGAAAACGAATCGAGAAGAGAAATACCGGACCTGCAACAAGAACCCCCTTTCCCTGGCCCCGGGGGAGGGGGGGGGCGCAGGCTTATTGACATGCTCGTGAAATTTTCTCAAGTTCGTCATCTCCAGCACAGGGTTCCTTTACTCGCTTCCGAGGATGGTCCCGGTCTGGGGTCTGGGGTTGGATGATGAATAGATAGATAGATAAAACGTGATCACTAGCTCTATCATGGGTTGATCCCGGGGACAAGGATGGGGGATGGGGGCCCAGCATGGCCAGGATCAATGATCCTTGAAGCGGAGAAGGAGAGTGAGAATCTATAATTGGTAGTAAGTTTAGTAAGTACTGGGCGGGGCGAGGATTTGGGGATGGACGAAGGAAGGAGCATAACGGCTATCCACAGCCGCCGCGCCGTGGCCCCATCAGCGCCAGCATCAGTGGTCACTAAGCTAATAACAAAGGTAAATGACGGCGGGTATGTAGAGTGGGAGGAAAGGAAGGTATGCTGAATAGGGCCACCTACAGGTAAGCAGGCAGGCAGGCAGGCAGGCGGGCAGGCAGGCAAGCCAAATCAAGCCACAGACTGACGGGCATCCAGACCGTTCCTTCGATCGTGAACGGGGGGCACTGAGGAAGAATCGATAGGCCGAGCGATAGGTCAACAGCATCTCATCTGGACCTCTGGGGGGGGGGGGGGGGGGCAGTCTAGTCTTTCGTGCGTGATCTGTCTGTCTGTCTGTCAACCCACCGGGTCGCAAGCTCCGACTGTGTGTATCACCGTTGAATTGATGCTGATTGGGTCGGGAAAGGCAGGGACGTTTGAGGGCGGGTTGGATGGAGGGATATAGGCTATATCCTGGCTGATTTGGTTCGGATCACGGGAGGTTCATACGCGAAAGGAGAAGGAATCCCCTTCTTCGAGAGAGCTCTGGTTTTTTATTATCCCGGGGTTGAGCCACTCTTTCCCCGCCCGTTCCCCTGTCACTGGCCATGGGTTGGCGATCAAGATCGGAATTGACCTGCAGATGCAGGAACGTTTCGTCGTCCGTTGTGGAGTGGAGGGAGGCTTGGGGGAGCAAGAGGGAAGCTAGAGCTGGCCAGTCGACAGGCGACCAGAAAGTAGTAGAAAAAGCAAAAAAAAACATCGAATCAATAGAAATTGATTCACAACAAAAAGAGAGGAAGACCGGGTATGCTGGCAGATCTACCGGGGAATTGTGGTGAATTCTCCGATCAAACGTCGCGGTGGATGAAGTAAGGGAAGCGGACAAAGCCCTATATGTAAGTATCCGAACTGGTTGCCAGCACAGCCAAACCAACCACACCCAATCACAGATGAATCCCAGGTTAATGACAGTGGAGTCTCATCCGGAGTCCCAGAGAGAAAATGCCCTTGACAGTTGGAAATCCTGATTCAGATCTGACCAATCGACTATCGATCCTTGCCAGTCCTGTTCTTCGTCGCCGAACGCCACGAGATCAGCTTCTATTCGGCTTACGACCCTCCTTCCAGATGAGTTCCATGGTTGAGCCTTCCGTGTGGGAGCTTGATACGATGAAGAGCTGAAATGAGAGCTTGGTCGTCGAGGTTTTAGGCCCTTTTGGTCGGATTTCACGCCTTTTCGGCAAGCCATTCAAGGGGACGTGCTTCAGTCCTCAATAACTAGGCCGGGGAAGCGGAGAGAAGGGACAAGAAGGATTTCTTTCTGTACAGGACAGGACAAGGAAGGTGGTTCGGGAAGTGTGGAGGGACCTCAATACTCATATCGCAGCATCACGACTGTCAGGGATATGGAATTAGAGAAGGACTTAAGGGGCACATCGCTTCTGCTCTTCCTCGATGAGCTTAATGACTGCCCTGGAGATTTCTCGAGAGCTACTATCTTTTTTCTTCAAGTGTCAACGTTCGCGTCTTGGATTAGAGCCAGTGTCTTAAGCTGAACGCATTGTATATTGTGACGGCCCCATCGCGTCCGCTGTGCTGGAGCCATAATACTAGCCACAAAGAGCGTTGACAGTGACCGAGACATTGTTCGCTGTTGGACCGAGTGGCGGAAAGTGACCAAGTCTTGAATACCGGGCTGTTCCTTGTCCCTTCCATTATCATTCACACACACTGCCATCTTTCTCCGTGCGTTTTTGTTTCTTTCGACCGAAACACAGCAGGTGCTAGCCTTTCGATTGGGACTCATTGAGGGTAAAGGCATTGCAACTGAATCTCGCCTCAGAGTGCGACAGACCAATCGCCTGGTCTATGTTCTAAGTAAGTTGACCGCAACTCTGCAACAACAAGTGAAACCTTACCATATGGAGTTCGATGTGCTGAGTGACTGCATCGCTGCCTGCAGGTGCCCTGACTCGCCTGCAACGCGCATGATACGACATCTAAGTCCAATTCTCGCTATTCCAGGAGACCATACGAGCAGTCAAAGACTGAAGCGGTGAACTGAGCAAGGAAGTGGAGCGTGGCATTTTAAAAAACGCCGCCTGTCTTTCCTCGAGAAGATCGATAGCTAGGAAGCAAGTCACCTGGCAAGCACCTTCATTTAATGTCAAGCTCTGGCAAATCTTGCTGAAGGTAGGTTGAATACACTCCTGTGTTTTGTCAGATATTCTGCCAGTTGAGTCTGATACTGTTGCCTGGTCAGCCCTGTTGTCGGAGTCGCAGCGTCCAATGAAGGTTGACCAGCGTTGTTCGCAAATCATCGAAATGACAAACACCTATATGATGATCTCAGACTCGATCAAAGAGAGAGAGATCTCCTACTGGTCAATCATTCCTTCTACACTCGATCCGGCCAAGCGTGAAGAGCCACCTTTTCACGGTCTTCCTCTTCCGACATTAGCGGAAGCCTGTTGCTCGTACATGCCTGCCAAACGGAGTCCCTTGCGAACGGACTGCAATCAACTTGAACAGCTTGGAATTGTCTCAAAGCCGCTGCAGAAGGCACCTGTGGCTTGTTCTCCGGCTGCATGTCTGGACGATGCTTCTAGCGCTGCTAGTCCTCCGAACATCAAATTCGACACGAGCACCGTGGCCAACGAGCCGTTCTTGATCCCACACAGAGCTTTAAGCTCGAAGGAGGACCTGGTTGCGTTTGGCGTTAGGGACAGTGAGTGCCTGCGCGCCGATCACCTCATTAGTGTCGCACACCAAGAGCCTGGATTAGCCACCAGCAACAACGATGCTGAAGTCCCACTGCCGAAAGTCGAAGTACCATGTGATTATAGCTCCTCTGTGACATTCAATGATAGCTTTAGAAGTGCACAGGAGACGATAGATACCACCAGTGCTCTCACCTGGTCCATCCCTGAAGTTTATCAAGTGGGATGTGCAACGCATTCGAGGGATATCAGCCACGATGAACTGGCATATCCCGCACCTTTTGTGTGCAGCGCAACAGCCCATTCATGCAATGATGACCTGAGTGGTACCTTCGACCAGCTGATTTCCATGCCGGATCACTCTCCAGATGACAGTTTTCAGCCCAGCCATGACGGGTGGTCGGACATTCCAAGTCCATTAGCTGGAGTCTGTCCTGGCAAAACATGCTATCCTGACATACTTCCAGTCCCAGAGAGACAAATGACAAGTCAGGCACCAACCTATTATCAGCCTCTTCCGACATACTCTTATCAAAATCAGGACTCGTCTACCTTTGCTCCTTCACATCATCCGCTCCCCCCTCCATTCCGGCCGCAGTTATCCCCAACCAACGGACATGGTGTGATTGAGATAGGAGGCGCACTCAGAGAATCCCCGACGCGCGGATCCGATGCCAAGAACAAGCTCTTGATCCAGTACAAGCAGCAAGGCTTTTCGTACAAGACCATCAAGGAGGTTTGCAACTTCGCCGAGGCTGAATCCACCCTTCGTGGCAGATACCGGACTTTGACCAAACCCAAGCACTCTCGAGTGAGAAAGCCGCAATGGCAAGATAGAGATGTAAAGTTCATTGGTCCCCACCCCCTTCCTTATTGTTGGTTGCGTGGTTCAACTGTGAGCATAATCCCATATATTGACCTTGATTTTCTTTCGTCCGTTCCTGTTGCAGATTCAACTTCTTTGTGAAGCGGTGATTCGGTTGGGACACGGCCGACAGGTGTCGCAGTGCCCGTACCTCTTCGATTACCAGTCTCGAAATCCCGCCCTCGCTCAGCCGCCGAAGGTATCCTGGAAACAGGTGGCGCTCTATATACATGAGAACGGAGGCTCATACCTCTTTGGGAATGCGACGTGTAAGAAGAAATGGTGTGAGGTGCATGATGTGAAGTGTTGATGTCCGAGTTCCCGGTTGAGGTAAGAGTGAGAATAGAAGAAAGGAAGGTTGCTGTTGCCCGGCGGAAGATGATAGATGGCCCGGCTGACTGACTGACCGGCTGATTTATTGACATTGCCGGTTCACTCTTACCCGGCAGGAACATGGGTGAATTATTTCCTGTCTTTCAGTCTGTCTGTTCGCCTTGCTCTGAATGACAGGATTGGAATAGAAGAGGGGGGGGGAGTCTCACGTGTAGAACTACGATGTGGAAATCGATTGCGTGGGCGGTAGGGGGCATCTATACAACCAATTTAGCAGTCAATCTACTCTTACATACATACGGTCCCTTTCCGAAAACAAACCAATGGTATTATATCTCTATCACGTAAAAGCAGGTATGACACATAGTTTACTCCGTGGATATGTGCAGATTCACTGATGCATATGTGACTCATCTAGAATAATGCTTCACAGTGAGACGCCTCATAGCTGCGAAACCTCCGGCAGATTCACCTGCGGAAAGCCAATCGTCGAAAGCACGTTGCTCAATGACTGCGGATTGCGGCGCAACTCGGTCCATTCGGCCTCGGCCTTGACCATGAGGGTTCCGGCCAGGATGGTGCCGTTCAGGGCGACCACTCCAGCCTCGGCGACATCCGCACTGGCGCCAGGTTCAACTGGGACGTGTGCGCTTTCCCTTCTCCTGGGGCAGATGATCATCGAGGACTCGGTCATGGCGAGATTATAGCTGACGGCGGCGGGGCCGGTCGTCTCTTGGACGCGGCGATTGCCGTTGCTGCTGTTTGTGACAGCTGCTGCAGCCGCAGCTACCGCAGCCCTGTACAGAGAAATATATGTTGCGAAGAGGGTCTCGCTCGAGGGGTTTGGCGGCAGGGGGAGCGCGAAGTGGGCAAAGGGAACTCGATCCGACCGCCGATAGCCACCAGACCCGCCGGTGGCTGCCGGTTGCGCGGTGGCGGCGACAATATCTATCAGAGGCCGCCAGTTGCCTGAGTGCTCCTGTTGTTGCTCCTGCTGGGCCATCGCTTCCACAGGAAGGAACTGCAGGTGCCTGTGCGGTTGACTCGCGCCACTCTCGTCGCCCGAGTTAAAGAAGGCGAACAGCTTTCTGCCGCGCGCGGAGGACGGAGCCTCTGCTTCAGCCCATGCTTTGACACAGGCGTAGGCGGCTGCGAGGTCTTCCTTCTCCAGAAGATCCGTCTGGGCTTTCCAGGCTTTGGTGGCGATGATGAAGTGGTTGGGAATCACGGGGAATTTGTTGAGGACCAAGAAATGGGTCGGGTTTTCGCGGGGGATCTGAGCTATTAGAAGCTCCGGTGACGGGTTTTCGAAGGGATCGAACTTCGGTCCGCTAGGGTTGGCGTTTTCGTTCTTCGGGGTACTCGTTGGCTTCTTTGCGAGAGCTGGACAGTAACGAAGTTGATACTGGGGCAAGATTGAGTGAAGGTGTCAGCAAAGCTTGCGCGTAGCCCAGGAATTGAGGGCACAAGGACATGATTTACCGGTACCCCCGAAGCATGGAGTGTCGCGAGCTGGGTTGGAGAAAAGAGGAGATGGCCAGCATCTTTGGCGGTTGTGAATCGTCGACTGACCAGAGCCGGAAGACTCTCCGAAAGACCTAGTTGCATAATGTCGAATGTGTGGAGTCGGATGCTGTGTTGCAGCTGCTGCAGTCCTGGCGGAGTGCGGAGTTGGAGAATGACAATGACGACTTCCTCCAGCGCGGCGGGATGAGGCAAGAATGCGGGGCAGGAACGGCTAGCCGAAAGGAGATGTTGGGATGCAGGCACGGAAATTCAGATTGCGTCCGGTATACAATTATATCCAAGCATGATGCATTGATATAGAAAAGACTATAATCTGCTTTCAAAGACTGTCATTTTCATCTACCATGCGGTTGCAAACCTAATTACCTCCAGCATATCTAACAATCTTCAATCCACAAAAGTCGACCACGTGCTCATATTTCGAAGTATGATAAAAACACAGGAAAGACAACTCATAAATCATGAGCAGCATAGCTTGAGTTGCATGTGGAGAATGAACAGAGTCTACACATGTCTAGGCATATCAAACACATTTTATGCAGTGTGGTTATGTGTCGTGGTGAGCACTAGCCACAATATATAAAAAGTGCGGAGAGCACGATCTCGCTGCATAATTCTTGAGCGCTCTTGTACATGACAGCTCAATCAATGACGAAGGTTGCTATTTACGTAAACTCTTGAAGCCATTTTGAGAGAGAATTCTCCATTACTATATTTTTTTCTGTTTAGAGCACTAGATAACTCTGAAGCTCTAACCAGTTCATGGTCCAGCACATATACAATGACGTCACTGGCATCTCTTCTTTCGACACACCTAGTAAGTATTCCCATGCTTCAACGATATGGCCTGACTCTATCATCATCGACCCGGATGATGCTGTAATATTTCACCCATCGTAGAGTCCAGACTCCCTCGAATGCTTTCCAGAACATGGTCTGGAGCTGTTCTCGTAACCTATAATAACCTATACTTATGTGGGAGGAATACGCTATGGAGGCTGAGGCTGAAGTTGTTTGTAAACTTGGTTAATTAATTTCTTAGTAAGAAACAGAATACGGCTATATGGTGTTTATCTTCCGGTTGTTATATAACCCGGCGAACCGAGACCACCAATACTGATATATTTTTTTAAAGGATTCTATAATACTATTATTTTTTTAATAAATAATATATAAATTTTTTTAGTATTAAAAACTCAGCAGATATATAAAAAAAGAATTTTTAAATTAATATCTATACAGCCAGCTGGTACTTCTGTAAACTACTTCAGTTCTAATATTTTATATAAATATTTTTAGTTTCTTTACTAATGTGTTGAATTTAATATTTTTTATAGATTTTATAAATAAGTTAGTAAGATTCTCCGAAAATTTAATATATTCTAGCTGTATATTATTATATTAAATAGCTTTACAGATTTAATAGAATGTAATATTAATATATTTAATTTTTTAGTAGAACTGATTGTTTTAAATTAATATAACTATATTTTTATTATTAATATAAATAATTATTAGACGTACGTTTTAAAAGCCGATATTTTTAAATATATAAATAATCCAGCAGGCTTTTTTATTTATAGTATAAAAAACTATATATTTAGTTTTATATATTAATACAGTAATGCAGGTCTGCAGATATAAAAATTAAGAAATTAGACTGTTTATTTATATAAATATATATCTGATAATTAAGCGGTATATATTAAAACAGCCGGTATAATTAGTATTAATATAATTAACTATAATTTTAAGTTTATTAGCTAAACTGTTTTTATAATATATTATATATAAGATTCTGTAATCCTTAGTTCGGTGTAGATAGTAGAATATAAATAAAAAGCTATTTAAATATTATTTTATTAAATTATTTATATAATAAGATAGCTTTCTAACTGTAAATATAAAATTAAAATAAATCTGTATTATTAAATATATAATATTTTTAATATTAACTTAATAATTTTTAATCTTCTTCTTAAATATTTATTTTTAATTTTTAATAAATTTAATATTTTTATTTAAAAATATTTTATATATCTTTTTGCTTGCCGGGTCAGCAGTTTTAATAATATATTAAAAAAAAGCTTTCTATATTAAATAAATAGTATCAGTAGAATATTTAATTTTAATTCCGAAATATTAGAAAGTATTATTAAAATTTGTAATAGTAAAGTACTTCAATAAACTTTAATATATAGAATTAATAAGATTTTTAATAAAAGCAGTAATTTAAATATTATTAATATATAAAATTATAATTTTTTTATATTTTTTTATAAATAAATATTTATCGGTTTGGAATGCTACTATTCTAATATCTATAGCAGCAGTAAGAAATTTATAATATTAATTTTTTTATAAATTACTTTAAACTGTATATAAATAGAAGTAGAAGATAGATCTTATTAGTATCGTTTTTAAAATTAATTAATTAAATTATTTAAATCTTTTTATTATTATAAAATTTACTATATAAGAATATTTATTTAATATTATTTTATTTACAGATATATCCGAACGCTGCTATAATAGTAAAAAATATTTTTATTATTACTATTTTTACTGTTGAAATATATATAAAATTATAATTAATACTATATTATTATAGAAAGCTACGGGCGATGTAGTAAGTTTTAAATTTATATATTTTATTATTAATATTAAATTTAATTTTAAATATCTAATATTTTAATATCGCCTTGCATCCCGTAGGCAATTTAATAAAATATTATATATTATATTTAATAAATAATTTTATTTTTATTTTTATAGCTTTCTATTATTTATCGGCTTGCAGAAATAATATAGTTTGTTTAAATATTATTAGTTTAATAATTTTTTTATAATTTTTAATTTAAAATACAGTAGAAGTACTTGCTAGTTGTAATAGATATAAAATTTAAAATCTTTATTATTTTAAAAAGTTTTTTATAAATAAATTAATTAGTTTTTTAAAATTATCTATATATATCAGCAGTATTAGCATCGGTACTGAGATATTAGTAATAAATTATAGTATTACTAATTAATATATATATTATTTAATTAATTTTTCTATATCGGATTCTTTATTTATATCTAATTTATATAAATTACAGATTGATAGAATAATTAATATTAATATTTTAAAATAATTATAATTATTATCGGGCGAGCTGTATATTTTTAGATCTAAATCTTTATTAAATTTAATATTTTTAACAGTAATAATTTTTTTTTAATATTTAAAATGTAATATAATTTGCCGAAACTGGTATAACTGAACAAACAAATTAAAATAATATAAAATAAGATTTTTAAAATATATTTTCTATTTCTTATTTTTAGTATAATTATTATAGTTTTATAATATTTAAAAATATATAGATTTAATATATTTGACTTTGTTTTCTGATATATCTTCTAAATAGTAATAGTTTTATTTTTAATTGGCGAAAGATTCTTTAG